TCCCTTCGCTCCCCTCGCTTCCCTCGCTCCCCTCGCTCCCCTCGCTCCCCTCGCTCCCCTCGCTCCCCTCGCTCCCCTCTCTCCCCTCCCTTTTCTCTCTCCCTCGCCTCCTTTCGCGCGTATTCCCTGCCCCCTTCTTGATGCCGTCCCTTCATCGATCCTCTGCTTTCGTCTCCTTCTTCCTCCACCTCGGCATCCTCGTCTCTCTTCCCCTCCGCTCCCCCGCTCTCACCTCTTGACCCAGGTTTCATTGAGCCGCCTCGTGTACTCCATGTTGTGTATCATCATATCCTTCAGTTCCTCCATCGTCTTTCTGGTCGATGAGCACTCCTTGCACGCATGCTGGCACAAGTTACTTGCTATGTCCCTCTCAAGGCGACCGTCTTACATCGTTTGACGAGGATGACGACTTGAAGTCTTGTGAGCTAGATGGCTTCACATCCAGCACGTTGGGTAGAGAAGAGCTCCTGAAAACCTTCTTGCTGTTTGCAACATTCGATGCCATTTGTGTGGACTTACACGTTGAGTTAGTCTCCCACGTCTGCCCGAGGATGATTTTGATCGCAAACGTCATGATGCCCATGTGCAGGTCGTCCTTGACGATCGAAGGGATCGAGTTCGCCAGGTTCCGCTCGGCGTACGCGAACAGCTGTATTCTCAGCAGCCTGTCGAACGCATGCTTGTCTAGCTCACCCTCGTCGTTGCAGAGGGTCTGCTGGAGGGTAATGTTGTTGAACTCGTCCTCAGTGAAGTTGATCTTCGGCTTCACGTTCATCTTCCTCAGTCCCTCGCTCATTTCCTGCCAGCTCAGCGCCCCCGACCGATCTACGTCCATCCTGTCGAAGAGGTCGGACGCCCTCCTTGTAAGCTCCTCCGACGAGCGGCAGGTCATGAGGGTGGCCAGCAGCGGGTCGATGGAGCTGGTGACGCCCTCGGCGTTCTTGGACTCGAGCTGCTTCCTCTCGTTCTTGTCCTTCTCCCTCCTGGTCGCTGTTGTGAAGTGATCCAGGAGGACGGCGATGACGACGGGGAGGAGGGTGAAGGGGACGATAAGGATGAAGGAGATGAAGAAGAGAGTCGGGCCTGCGTCCATGGTGCCGTCGCTGCCAAACAGCGAGCGAGAGATTGACGCCCAGTCGTCGAAAGTGGCGACCTGAAGTGAAATAAGGAGAGAAAGGAGAGGGAGGTAAGGAGGAGGAGAGTGAGTGACCAGGTTGAGGGGAGATAGGAGAGGAGGAGAAAGAAGGTAAAAGTGAGGAGGGAAGAGCGAACAGGGAAGAGGAGGAAGAGGGGAGGAAAGTCAGAGGATGAACCTGAAACATCGTGAAGAAACTCTGAAGGAAAGTCAGAGACAGCAAGTGAAACATGTTCTCACCAGCGAGAAGTTGCTGAAATGCTCCAAGTTCTTATCCTTGAAAAAATTGACTCCAAGGACCTGACGGTAACAGTGAGGACTATCAACGAGGAAGTCGAGGCGAGGAGAGGCGAGGAGGGGGCACGGGAAGGAATATCACCGCGTAGATTGAGATGATGAGGAACACGATGAACATGGCGTTGATGACGGGCCTGGAGAAGATAAGCCGTCAAGAAGAACGCCGGTGGGGCTGGGAAGAGACGCACAGCAGGGAAGTTGTGAGGGAGTTGATGAGCATGCGGAGGGATCTGAGCCTGAGACGAGAGGGTCAGAGGTAAGAGAACGACTTGACGACATAGGTTGCTCTGACTTACCTCGAGAAGATTCTGAGAACTCGGAAGGCGCGGATGAGTCGAAGCGTCTTGATGAATGGAATGTCGACTGACAGGAATTCAGGCAGAATGCTCCTCTCTCTCCTCTCCTCTCTCCTCCTCCTCCTCCTCCTCCTCCTCCTCCTCCTCCTCCTCCTCCTCCTCCTCCTCCTCCTCCTCTTCACCTGGACCCAACGAAACAATTGAAACCGAAACGACGAAGAAGTCGAAGACGTGCCAGCCATTTTCCAGAACGCGTGAAACCAGTGGGCCGCCATGTTGATAGCAAGCTCAACGGCGAAGATGATAGTGAAAGTCTGAAGACGTGGCGACAAGATTTCAGAAGAGAACAAGAAGGAAAATGACTCACGATGTCAAGAATCTTGAATGTATCAGCAGCTTTCGTTCCATCCTCCGGAAGAAGCTGCATTGTAGTTCATCATCATCACCACCACCACCTCCACCACCTCCACCACCGTCACCATCTTTATCATCATCTCCATCATGATCATCGTCGTCATTATCATCATCATCATCATCATCATCATCATCATCATCATCATCATCATCATCATCATCATTAGCGACAGCAACCTGAAGCTCAGTTGCAGTACAAATGAAGTTTGCAGCAATGAGAACAGCGAAGAAAGTCTGCACGAGAGCGCGATCGTAGAAGCGCGAGAGGGAGGCCTGCATCCCAGCGCGATCATTGTGAAGTTAGACTGAGTCGTCGACTAGACCTGAAGTTTGTTGATCCTGTTGAGTTTCTTCCACTTCTTCTTCGCACTGAGAGAAAGACTGTCAGACTCTCCTCATCTAGAGGGGAGGGGGAGAAGCTTTCCTGATAGCCTCGTGCTCGATCCTCGATATCCACTCTTCTATCTCCTGCATTGGATCTCAAACAAGTAGGACAGGCAGCAAACTCAACCTTCTCCTTCTCTGCCTGGCTGACATGCTTGTTCGAGAAATGTCTCAACGTGTACGTCCGGCCTGAGACGTCAAAGTTGTCAACGAACGCCTCGTAAGCATAAGGGCATGACATCACCCGAGTTGTATCCCTTGGGATTCGTTCTGATCAGGATGACGCTCTGCTCCCGCACGTCAGGGACTTACATGTCCCCCAGTTCCTTCACCTTCCCCTCTGACGCGAGCACTGGCATGATGTATTGTTGGAACTCGTCATACGACAAGTCACCTTCACACTGCGTCAGCACAACCCGCACACACACCCGTCCTCTACCATCCAGGTTCACGTCCGCGTCCTGACGGGGCAGAGGAGGAAGGCAGAGCAGTATCAGTCGCAGGAGGGAGGCGAGAAGATCAGGGCACCTCGAAGATGGCAGTGATCTTGTTCGCTCTGAAGCCGTACTTGGACAGGGCGACCGTCAGCTGAGGGAAGGACGTCAGCTAGCGGACTCCCTCCGCTCCTCTACCTCCGATCGGCTGATCAGCCCGTTGCCGTCAAGGTCCATGTCCTCAAAGTGCTTGTGGACGTCCATGTGCGCGTTCTGAACGCTCTCAATCTCCAGTACGAGTCAGCTCAAGGAGGCAGGCGCAGGGCCTGACCTCGTTGAGAGGGATGCAGTCCAGTATCTTGTTGCTGTCCTCGAGCGACAGGATGAGCAGGTTGTGCGTCAAGCTGATCTGTTGGGTGAAGGAGAGTGAGAGAGCAACCGGGGAAACAGTTGGTTCCTTCGACCTTTCTGACTTGTTCCCCGGCACCATAGTAGAAGAGCGCTGTGGTAGAGATCAGCAGAATGCTTGATGGTCTGCGGAGGTCAAGAACCTGTCTTGAGGATGAGACTTTCGTCAGGGAGAGTCGTTTCCCCTGATTCATCCAGTAGCAGACTTCAACGGAACAAGGTCAGCGTTCTCGAGGCAAGGCAAGAGCAACAAAGATCAACCTTCCTTTCACTTTCTGCCGTCGAGATCGCCCAGAGGCTGCGATGCTCGCGACAAAAGCCATGGAAGAGTCGCCTGCTGGACTAGATGTTCAATCTCACAGTCTTATCGGTCATTCTTGCTTCATCTCCCTTGCTAGCTTTCATTGTACCCACCCCACCTCGTCTTCCTCCAACCTATCCCATCCCTCTCAGCTGATCACGAGGATCGTATGTTAGCTTTAGCTGCTCTTTACTCAACATCTCAGCCTTGTCCTCTGGTTATCGTCTCTGACAGCGTCGCTCCTTAGCCTCTATCGTCCACGTTCTCGTGGCATATCTTCTTTCTCTATATCCTCGTACTTCCTTCTCCTCGACCTGCTGTTGTTCTACTCCCTCTCTTCCTGCTTCTCATCATCCTTGTCTTCATCATGAGCATCGTCATATCCTCCTCCTCCTCAAGTCAGGCCCACTCTACTTCATTCTCCTTCTCAACCTGATTTCGAACTTCCTCAGTCTTGCACAACTGCTCGCCCTCTCCTCCCGCCTGCTTCACCTGATCCCCTTCTCTGCTGAGCCCTACATCTTACTGCCTGTCATCCAAACTCTTCCTCCCTCGCCCTCTCCCCATCTCTCTTCTGGTACATTCTTGACAGTGATGGTGCATGAGGCGAAATGAAATAAAAAATGACCGCACGGTATTACAATATTCATTACGAAATATTTCGGTCGTAGTTTGCCTATTTACCCGTTTAATTTGAAATATTGAGAATCAGGAGATAAATGAGATTAATAGATCCTTGAAACTTGGGACACGGCGATGAAAATCATCAAGAAGTTGACTAGGTGGGTCCGGTATACTGTTAACAGTTAGGTCTCTGGTACAAATTTTAACTGTTAACAGTTAACCGTTTTTCAACGGTTTTCGTCTTCCTGTAATAACAGTTAATGGTTAAGTCTTAAACTTCAAATCCGATCAAATTAAGCACCGCGATTGTTTCATCGCGGTTAGTTAAATTTAAAAGTCAGATTTTTAAACTCCCCTGGTGAGCCCCCCCCCCGACCCGCCTTGGCTCCATGCTGCCCCTCCCGCACTGCGGCGGCACAAGTCGCCCCCAACGCGCTGATCATCAAGAGCAATGCTCCTCTTACTGGGTTATGCTATGATACACATCGATAGCATCCAATCCACCGTAAAGTGCACTTTCTCAATGCATCACGTTGAAAGATTTCACGTCAAGAGCCGATGTATTGCTGCTGTCAATCGACTTGGATCATAGCTATCCAAGTTTATTCAGAAGCTAGCACTGATGATTCCAGGGATAGCAACAGGTCTCTCAGACACTCAGAAATACGCAACCAAGACGGACTCTGTCATGAGGAGGGTCGCAACGAAGACTGACTGTCATGACTCAAACATGAGGTGATAGCGATGTCCTTCCGAGTTCGGAAATGTCGGCTCAAGGTGAACACCATTTCGCAGATGTGAAGCTGATGATGTCGCAAATTCTAATTTCCCAGTCGGTGTATTCAAACTTGGTATGTTTGTCTGACTTTACATCGTCAACGATGTGCATTGGTCATGGTTTTGAAAGCTATAGTTTGTCTGTAATAAAGTCATTCTTACCGAGCTCTTATCATCGTTTAAGCCCATGCCAGCTCACTTGTTTCAACTTAGAGATCTGTTCTGGTTGCCCTTGTGTTTGACATTGGCATCGGAAGCACCTTGATCTGCGTTCGGAAGCATAGCATCTTGCACACAATTTTTTCATGGACCGCCATTAAAATTTCACACTTTTGGAGGCATATTTTAAAAATTGACGACGAAAACGAAAATTTGCTGGAATACTGTTAACAGTATACCGGAACACTTTTCATGCTAACTGTTAACAGTAAAATAAGGCCCGAAAGAATTTAACTGTTAACAGTATACCGGACCCACCTACTGGGTTGACGGCAGCAGTGACGGCAGTGACTCGGATGGGATTGAGTGGGGAGGAGGGTCCGGGGGATGAGCGGGGATGAGGGTTCATCGGCGCCGCGGCCACAATGGAGTGGGCAGGAGCGATGCTGGGAGGGACAGGGAGGAAGAGGAAGAAGGAGAGGAGAGGGGAAGAGTAGAGAGGAAACGGAATGAAGGGTAGGGAAGAAAACTGGAGAAGGAAGAAGGAAGCAAGGTTAAGGGCTGGAGAGGTGATGGATTGAGTTTCAGAAGCGATGGTATTCGGGATGGTTGAAATGGGGAGGAGCTTGCTGGAAGAGTGCAGAAGAAAACTCCTTGTGCTCTTGACAAGATGCTGAAGTTTGTTCCTCAGCACCTGGGCAAGAATGCCTCCGAAGCACCGAGATACATGCTTTCCGACGGGTCGGATCAAACGGATTATGCAGCAGGACGAGGAGGTAGGGAAGATCTCCAAAGCTGCGCCTGTGCTGGTGTCCAAGTGTCTTGAGCTGCTCATCGGCGACCTGGTGAACAAAGCATCGCAAGTGACTAGGTCAAAGAATGCGAGCACTGTCAACGTGAACCACCTGAGGGAAGCCGTTGCCAAAGAAAGCACGTTCGACTTCCTGCAAGATGTAAGAAACAGGAGGAGGCGGGGGGAAGGAGGGGGCGGGGGAAGGAGGGGAAGGAGGAGGCGAGGGGAAGGAGGGGAAGGAGGAGGCGGGGGGCAGGGAAGTGGGAGTGTTGTTGACGGTAAATTGACTTGAACATGAAGGTGGTTGGAAAGTTCGTACCCTCCAGCGAGAATGAGGATAAAGTAGTCGGGTGAGTCTTCAATGCAGGAGGAGGAGGAGGAAGAAGAAAAAGGCTGAGATTGAGTCTCAAGGTCGGACGTGGAGGAAGCTACTCATCCAGGCGACGATGACAGCGGGTCAGATAGCGACGAGAATGCGCCGAGCTCATCAACGGGGAGAGGAAGGGGCAGGGGGAGAGGAAGAGGTGAAGGAAGAGGGAGAGGGAGGGGCAGAGGAAGGGGACGGGGAAAGGAGGCAGGGGAGAACGAAGATGGCGCCCCTCCGAAGAAGCAGCGAACACAGGACGGAGAGAAGACTGGTCGAGGACGAGGAAGGGGCAGGTCTGCTCGCTGCTGCTGAACTTCCCTCTCGTTGACGTGTAGAGGAAGAGGAAGAGGACGCGGGGCGAAGGCTGCTGGGGGGACAGCTGGCGATGGAGAAGAGGAGAGCAAGGGCATGGAAGTGGAGGAGAAACCAGCGGCGAAGGAGGAGGTGAAGTATCAGGATACTCCGTGGTGACCTGACATGTGAAGCAGACTGCCGCGGAGGCGAATGAGTAAGCAGAGAGAGAGAAGGGGTTGAAAGAGGGGAAGGGAGGAAGAGGATGGGGCAAGGGAGGGGAGAGGAAGGGAGAGGAACAAGAAAAGATGTATGCTGGATGGACAGAGGGAAGGGGAGGTACAGCTGATGTACTTGCTGCAGATCGAAAACTGCGACTTCGTTCGAGCATCGCAAGGTTGACGATGACTATGACGATGACGAGGTTGTCTTTCCCCTCCCCTGCTCCTCAACTCACCTCTGAACCCTCCTTCCTCTCCCGCTGTCACTGACGCATCCTGTTGCAGTGAAGGCAAGATGGTGATGGGATGAAAGCAGATCCGAGAACTTTCTCGACAAGCAGAACACTACCTCTAGCACTTCCTGTTCTTTGCTTGCATTCTTTAGGAAAACTTTAAATATGACAAAAGTTGACTCTGAAAAAGAGTCCAGACTCAATTCTGAATATCCTCCTCGGCTCCTCGGCTCCTCCTCCTCCTCCTCCTCCTCCTCCTCCTCCTCATCCACATCTCCATCGGAAACTACTCGCCACCTCGTCGATCCTGACTGATGTCATCTTGCAGACCGAGAATGCACAACAGCTGTCAAACATCGTCAGAAGGCGTTTGAAGCTCCTCCTTTCTTCCTCCCAACCCTCCTGCCTCCTCCTCTTCATCACCTTCTCCTTGCTTGTTATGTTCCCTCCCACAGTGTTTTGCTGCCCTCCACCAAGAGTGTCAAGACTCTCCGAGTTCAAGTCGACATCCTGACAGCAGCGTCATCTCCCACACTCTTCCTTCCGCCTCCTCCTCCTCCCCCATCGATATCCCTCTTCGCTCCCGAACCAGTTCCTCCTACCCCTTCTCCTCTCCAACGCCATCCACGTACCAGCGTTCCTTCGAGCTTCCTCGTGTACAGGATCCTCTCCTCCACCGTGCTGGTTGAGAAGTCAGGAAGGAGCCGACAAGCGAGGAGGAACAGACCAGGGGGCGTAGTAGACGGTGCAGCAGACCTCCTTGCTCTGTCCGATGCGATGGCAGCGGTTCATCGCCTGCGCCTCCTCGCTGGGGTTGGTGAAGGGCTCCAGCAGGATGACGTGGGAGGCGACGCTGAGGGTCAGGCCAGCAGCGAGCTGACCAGCGTTGAGGAGGAAGACGAAAGTCTGCGGGTCCTCGTTGAACGTCCTGACCGCATCCTCCGCCATGCCCGGCTCCTCCCCTGTGGTGAGCCGGACGAATTTGATCCCTTCCTCCTGCAGCACGAGCGAGACATGCGCGATGGCTGAGTGATACTGCGAGAATACAACCACCTTCTCCTTCTCCTTCATGCTCTGCTTCAGGTCGATCAGCAGCCGCTCGACCCTGCTGCTCCTGCTGGAGGAGGCCGAGTGGAAGGAGCTCCTTGCTCCCAGCGGCGCCTTGCAGAAAAGATGCATGTGGGAGCCGAAGGAGCAGTCGAGGGAGGGAAAGTTGGCGATGCCTGGGATGGAGGATCGATCCAGATGGCCCTGGGGAGGAGGAGGAGACGCTGCTACCTCCTCACTCTCTGCTGCAGGAGACCAGGAGATCACTTGGAGAGGCTCCGTCCTCTTGTTCTTCTTCTTCCTCTCCTGCTTCTTCTCCTGTGCCCCGGACTCCTCAGAGGCAGGGGGGACGATCTTGATGAGGTTGGAGAAGGAGAAGGTCTTGCGACAGAGAGGGCAGGGGGCCGTGAGGGAGGCGAGGGAGGAGCCGGCTCGCCCCTCGTTCGTCTCCCGCCATGTCAGCCAGTGGAGGATGCAGTCCTCACAGCCGAAGTGAGCGCAACGCATGAACGTCGGGCGCTTGCTGTAATCGCAGCCGTCGAGGCAGACGCAGCACTTGGGAGCCCCACCATTCTCGATCTCAAACAGCTCGCTGAAGCCTCGCTGCTGCACCTCCTGCTCGGCCTCCAGTCCTGCACAGACGTCATCTCCTCTTCGTCTCTGTCCTCTCTCCTCACCGAGCTCCTTCGAACGGCAGAGGATCCGGAAGTAGGGGAGGAGGGCAGAGAGTTTCTCCTCCGTTGAATCCAGCAGGCTTTTCTTCTCCTTGATCATCTGCTCCACAATCATCGCCCGCTCCCTCTGCTCACTCCTCCTCCTCGTCTCTACTCGCTCCTCACGCACCTTCTGCTGCTCCTGCAAGAGGTTGCCCCCCTCCTCAGTCGGGATCTCCTCGGCGCTCAGCGAGGGGCTGGAGAGCTTCTGGAGGAGCTTCCTCTTGGATCCGTTCACCTCGGCGTCTAGCGGGATAACTCCCATCGTCCCGTCCTCCTTCATTCCCAGCACATGGCTCTGCTTCAACTCCAGCAGGTTGCCAAACCCCAGCTGCCGCCACCCATGAGCCGTCTCGGCACAGACGGCGATCACCTCTCCCTCCTCGCACTTGAGCTCCTGCTCCCTCCCTCCCAAGTGCTTCCTCAGCACGCGGTAGCGAGTCACTCGGAACCCTCCTCCACGGGATGAAGCCGACGGCGAGGAGGAGGGGGAGGAGGAGGAGTGCTTAAGGATGGCGAAGCTTCGTCGGAGAAAGCGGAAGGAGCAGCGCGACCCTTGCGTGATGAAGTCCCAGTACCGCCCGCTCGTAATGCGCTCAAGCGCCATCCTCCACCTCAGCCTCAGCAGGCTCCTCCTGCTCGTCCTGGCCTCCAGCTCCAGCTCCTCTTTCGACTTTCTCAGCTCCTCGATCCTCTCGCCCAGCGACTGCACCGCGTAGCTCCTTTGCCGGTCGTAGACTCCCGTTACCTTGGCGTCATGCCGCACCATGTGCTCGAGCGAGCGATTGGTCTCCTCGATCTTCCTCGCCTGCATCAGCACGCCAGTCGCCTCCTTCACCGTCATCTCCCGCAGCTCCATCTTCAACTCTCCTGCCATTGCCGCTGCCACCGGCCGGTAGCTCAGCCTCAGACGCGCGTCCAGCTCGAGCAGCATGGCCTTGCACCCGGCGCCTCCGCAGAGGAGGAAGGGAGAGATGCACGCGGCCCTCAGCGGACGCAGCCAGAAGTGCGCAGGGTGACGATGGTGGGAGGAGGAGGCGGCGAAGGCGAAGGAGAGGCCTTCCTCCACCTCATCGCGGCACTTGGCCTCCAGGTAGTCGTACATGAACCTCTCCGACGCCGAGAGCTCAACAGGGACGCGGCGAACAGAAGAGGGAGGAAGACTGACGATGCTCCTTCCGTCGGCGTAAGTCTGAGACTTGGAGTGTCGGATCATCACGTTGCGGAGGAGGAGGTCGAGCAGCTCAAGAGCGCTCCTCTTCCTCTCCGAGAAGGGCTTCGCGATCCTGATCTCCCAGAACCCGTCAAGCTCGTCAGGGAGGCAGAAGGGGAGGATGCCGAGGAACTTGAGCTCGCCGTGGAGGTCCGAGACGGAGGAGTACAGCGGGGTTCCCGACACCATCCACCTTGTGTTGCACCTGCGACGTTTCATGAGCGGAGAGGTAGAGAGGAGGCAATGGGAGCAGAGGAGAAGTAGAGAGAAGAAACGAGGGGGGAGCAAGGAATCACAAACGAAAAGAAACGATGAAAGAGAGGATAACAGACAAGCAGGTTGGCAGCAGCAGCAGCAGCCATGGGGACCTGAGCTTGTCGCAGGTCTTGGCCAGGAGCGACTTGGCGTGTCGAACTTCCTGCATCTCGTCGAGCACGACCCGCTCCCACCGAACCTTCTGGAACGAGAGACGCTCGGAGGACAGCACGGGGTAGGTCGTGAGCACAACGTCCTCCTCGAAGAACACCCTCAAGCGCTCCATCTTGTGGCCTGCGTGACCAGGGCAGACCCTCCCCTCGCACTCCTTGGGGCCGCCCGGAATGAGAGAGCAATGACCTGTGACGGACATGGAGGAGGAGATGACTGAGAAGGACAGGACGTCCGAGCTCTTGCCGACACACTTCTCGAGCTCCGACGACCACTGAGACAGCAGGTGGGGAGGGACAACGATCAATGTCCCTCCTCTGATCAGCTTCTTGGCCCCCTCGTCCTCGTCCTCGTCCTCGTCCTCCTCTGCACCTGCCTTCACTCTGTTTTCACATTCTCCATCGTCCTCCATCTCATCACACACTGTCGAGTCGTCTGCTGACCCACTCCTGTCGCTTCCAGCCACTTTCCTCACCTGCTTCTTTCTCTCCTTCTGAGTCAGGATGAGCGCTACCACCTCTGCTGTCTTTCCCAGCCCCATCTCTTCCGACAGGATCCCTCCGTGAAACACCGGAGGCTCCTCCAATCTCAGCTCTCCCAGCTTCAAAGAGATGAGTCAGCAGACGATGACAAGGTGCAGACAGGATGGGGCAGGAGCAGGAGCAGGAGCAGGAGCAGGAGCAGGAGCAGGAGCAGGAGCAGGAGCAGGAGCAGGAGCAGGAGCAGGAGCAGGAGCAGGAGCAGGAGCAGGAAATCGTGTGACAGGAAAGAGAAGTAGATGGGAAAGATGAAGGTCAAACAACCTCTGGCGCGTAGTAGTAGAAGCCACCGTCTAGGAACTCGTGGCGTTGCCAGAAGAGCTGGTTCAAGCCGAACTCAAACTCCTCGTGGTCGATCATCCACTGCAGGGTCTGAAGCTGGTAGTCCAGCAGCTGCAGCCTGAGCCCTTTGGGCTGATTGGCCGACGGGTAGCCGGTGTGCTCCTGGGCCTTCAAGACGCCTTTCCTCGTGAAGTCCGACCTACTGTCCTTCTCCTCCGGACGAGAGAAGAAGACCGGCTGCTTGAGACGCTCTAGCTTCACGAGGGGACGGACAGAGCCGACGGGCTTGAGGCAATCCATGAGGTCTCGGATGGGAGGGTAGGCGATGAGGTAGAAGATCATTCGCCGCAGGTAGACCCACATCGTCACTGTCAGCACCCCGTCCTGCACTTGCGATGCAGCCCGTGGAGCAATGATGCGAAGAAGAGGCTGCGGCATCCAAGGCAGAGAGTCGTCGCTTGGCTTCATCAGGTCTTGCATCGTCTCCAACGCTCGCTCGAACTTCTCGTCTTGTACTTTGAGATCCTCCCGACCGCAAGCCTGCACAAGTTTGGAGACTGTGAAGCAGCCGCTTGACTGCGACTCTCCGTCCTCGTTCCATGTGATGTGAGCAGAACCTTTCTCCTGGTCCGGCTGCGTGGCCGGCACCTCTGAGGTCAGAAGTTCCATCAGCTCTGCGATCCTCGGCGAGGGAATCGAGAACGTCATGGTCATGGTTCCCGCAAGCCGACACACCTCTGCAAGATCCAAGTCACCAGCACGTCGGTTCAGCACGCTTGCTTACCCATGGCCCGCTTGCAGGATGTAGCTTGCCTTGCGCCTTGCTTAGAAGACCATTCAGCAGGAGGTTCAACTTTCTCGTTGCCATCTTGACGAATAGAAGCGGGTGGATCTTTGATCCACTCGGACCAAAACAAGTCTGCGGATGAACAAGAAGATGCGGCGAGAGGACGTGATTGCACGTCTGGTCCTGATTCTCCAGCCCCATCCGCTCTCTTGTTTCTAGAAGCCCTTTGCTTCTTGCTTGTGCCTGCATCCTGCTGGATGCTTCGCTTTTGTTTCCCCATTTCCCTACAATGCATCCATGAGAAAACATTACTGAGCGAGACGGATCGCTCGAAAGCAATCTCTGCTTTTCCATCATGCTGCATCAACACATCTCTCGGTGTGTGTGTGTCTGTGCCTCCCTCGACTCTTCCGCCAGTTCTTCTCGTTTGTCTTCATTCTTTCACATCGCCCCATTCAAACATCGGTTTCTCTTCTACTCCCTTTCCCTCCTAATAGTTACTAACTCACATTCAACCACACATTCCACGCTGTACACCTACTTTCTTATGAGTCTCTCACTCTTTTTCTCCTTTTTCTGCTCAGCTAGTAGAACTTCTCATTATTGCTTGCTGTTGTTTAGCTCGAAGAAGCTCTGTATGTCCCAATTTCAAGAGATCTTCCTTGCTCTTTAGCTTCAGCTTCTACTCCTATGACGGCTCATTCATCGCCACCTCCCTCGTCTCCCTCCTCCTCATCCACCCGCCCATCCGTTCCTAGCTTGCGCACTTTTGCGGCATTCCCCTCCACCACCCCACCCTCTCCGTGGAACCTCACTGGTGGTGGTTAGTAGAACCACCACCCCATTTCTTAATTTCACCCCTCATTTCAGTATTGCACAAGGGGGTAGGGTGCCCCGGGCCTAGGAAAAGGCCCACGAACTTCCGACCGGCCCGGGTCACCGGGCCCAGTGGTGAGCCGCCGGCGGGCCCCGGGCGCCGGGAACTTCCGAAGGCTCGGAAGTTCCGAACTTCCCACCTGCGGCAGCTGAGGCCGCGTGGACTTCATGGCCAGTGTGCTTCCGAGCCTAGTCATAGCCTTTCAAGTGTGACTTCGGAAAGGAGCGGCCGCGGCGGCAACGGACGGCGGGCCCGGACCTAGTGGCGCCGGGCAGCGGAACTTGAACTGAGGCCTGGCCGGCCGGGTCACCGTAACGGTGCACGGCCGCCGGCCCCGCGGCCCAGCGCCCCGTGCGCGGCCGGTGCCAGGTGCGCCGGCGGGTTGCCAGTGTTCAAAAACTCAGTGAACTTGTGACTTCAAGACGGGCAAGTTACACGGTAGTGACTCAGACGGTTTATTCATGACAGTGACGGTGTCACCGGGACTCGTCAGGGAGACTCTCACGCCGGGGCCGCCGGGCCCGGGCCGCCCGGCCGGGCGGCCCGGGGCCACGACAGGGGCCTGCCGTTACTGCAGTAACGGGAGCACTTGAAGAGCCGCTGGACATGGCAGCTTGCCGTGAGTAAGGAAGAAGATCAAGAGGAGGAGAGGAACTGCAAGTGAGTGAGTGCCAGCAGACAGGAAGGACAGCTTGACTTGTTGTTCGAAAAGACAGTCATCTCCCTCCCTGAATCTGATCAGATGACAATCTTGTCTTTCTCTGGAAGGCCGGGAAGGCTCAGCACCGCCAAGCAAGGGCTTGCTCTGCTCGTGTCGTCGTGGGCTGGTTTGATTCTGCTGATCGTGACTTTCTTTCTTCTCCGGCCAACACATCATGGGGGTGCAGAGCTCTTGCAAAAGGAATCTGCAAGCTTGAAAAGGGCTGGAAAGAGTGTGGCAAGCAATGTTCACAGAGCAGATCACCACACAGCCTTGACCCTGAAGAAGTCGAAGAGAGTCAAATCAAAGTCACAGGCCCTTCATGCTGCCAACTGTGAATGTGTGTATGGAGGCAACCCACTATCAGAGATCAGCGAACCCAACGTCTTCCCTGGGCCCTCCGAGTACGGTCCCGACTCGCCCAACTCGTACGCCCCGGCAGATGCTGCAGCGGAAGATCCATGCTGCGCGGGTGACGTTGCGTGGGGTGCCCCGGCGCTCCCCTTGAGTGACATGAGAAAGGTTAGAGACTGGGAGGTAGAAGAGCTTGTAACGACACGAGCGTAGGTGTACGAGATCAACGAGCCAAACTTCAAGGAATGGAAGGAGTTCGAGAAGGAGAACAACATCTTCCCGGGGATCGTGGATTGGGATCCAGATTGTATGCATCTTTTTATTTTCGAAAAGTATACGATGCTTGACAGTGATGCTACAGCTCCTCATGGTTACAACCCTCCGTTTGACACCAAGGAATTGTTTGACGGGCACGGAGGAATAATTGGGTTGGAGGTGAGCGTCTCGCTGCTTCTGCTCGCCATGGTGACTTGCTTCTAGGATTCGGACAACTGGGAGAAGACGTTGGATTCTGTTCAACCTGATCAGTATGGTCACTATGCTGATGGTAGCACAACGGGCATGGACAGCAACGTTTTCGCGAATGGGTATCAATTCCCTGGTATGTTTGGTTGCCTTCTTCCCCTCCTTGTGACTTTTGCTCCTCAGCCTATTAAAGCTGCTTCAGACCCAGTTAATGTTGCACCTTTTATTACATTCCAGAAAGTGTAGCTCAGACGAACAGGGGAATGAGAGACAAAGGCTAGAAGTTGGTAGAATATTGAAAGCTTCGTTTATTTCCAACCTCCCCGCTCTTGCTTCATTCAGCTGTGATCTTGTCTCGCACGGTGTTCTTGTTGGTCTACCTCCCTCTCTCATCTCTCTGCCTGTTCGGCTTCTCCTCTCCTCCTTGCTCTCTTCTGCTGCAGTTGGCAGCCACGCCCCTCTAGGTGACCAAAGACTTGCCGGGCTACCTCTCAGCCTCGAGGGGGTAGGGGTATACTTGGGTTCTTTCTAGAATAACCGGGGTAGTTCCTGGATCATGGAGGGGTAGTGGCAAATTAAGATGGAAGGGGGTAGGTCACCTGGGGTGGAACACGGATTTAGAACATGGACAACGGGGGAAGGGTAAAGATGAGAGGAGGAGGGGGAGAGCGAGAGGGAGGACGAGGAGTCTGGTCTTGTCTTCTTGCACGCTCAACCTTACTCCGCACAGTCTGCCTGTTGTGAAGCGGCTCCAATGACGCTCACCAATGGTCCTCGTGTTGAGGCGCAAGCAAGAAAAGCAAGGCACTTCTGCACTGCAGCTTGCTTGTTCATCGTCATGGCAGCCGCCTGCATCGCACTGCTGGAGGACGTCTCTCCCGATGATCTCAAGACGGCTCTGACGTCAATTCCTTACATCCGTCAAGAAACCAGAGACAAGATTGATAGCGGAATGTGGGACGAGGACGCGGTAGAAACAGACCAAGAGGCCGGGTTGCTCCCTCCCAATCCACCTCCACCCTCAGACGACTCGAACGATTTCAACTTCTCTCCGCTTACTGTAAATGCTTTGTGCTCGAAGCGTGGGTATGCTGATTTCATGTGGCAGTCGTCGAAGCGAGGGAGCGCAGGCAGCGGAGCGGGGGATCGGAAGCAGAACCCTTCGAAGAATGGAAAGAGCTTCTCTGATCACTCGAAAGAGAAGAGCAACAAGATCGAGCGAGGAAAGCAGCAGAAGCGAGAGGGTAGTGCACGTTTGACCCTTTCATGTCCTCACCACCTTTGCAGGAACTTCTCGGGGAAAGCAGAAGCCACAGAAAGAGGCAGATGCCCAAGGTATCGGGGGAGAAGGGCAAGAGGCGGAAGAGACGGAGGAGGAGGTCGAAGCTGAGCACCAGAATGCTGGAGATAAGTTCCAAGGGGGAAGCAAACCACAAGGGGGAAGCAAGGAACGAAGGCACAAGATTGGGATCGGTGTGGGTGGGGAAGGGGAGGAAGAGGAGGCAGAGGAAGAGGAGGCAGAGGAAGAGAATGGGATAGAAGGAATCGGAAGGGGCGAGCACGCAGCTCAAGTGGGGGAGCAGCAAGGCACGGGTGCAAAAGAGGATCAGGAGAAGAGCAGCGAGCAAGGGAAGTTGGAAGGACAGAAAGAAACTCGTGATTCAAGCGCACCGGGTCATTGTGCTTTCGAGGCGAGCAAGAGGTGATAGGAGAAGTGTGAGGCACTTGTAACTTGTGGAATTTGCACCAGGTGTGGAGCAGATGAAGACTGTCCTGCAGGAGGAGGGTCTTGCGTCTTCTGGGCTTGTACGGGAGACCCAGAAGTGAGATGCAGAGACTCTCAGGATTGCTCGTGAGTTGTTGTTGTCTCTCTCCTCTCTCCCTCTCTGCTTCTGACGTCGTCGGTCCAGGACCGTCGGGGGTGTCTGCACTGGTCCTGGTCATTGTTCCAACAGCGTCAGCAGCGCATGCGCAGTCGACAAGGATTGTGGCGGCGAGGATGACTTTTGCATCGTGAATGGCTTCTGTGATTTCTCTCCGTCAACACCGTAATCTTTAAAATCATTCGTATGTTGTTTCAATATCTGACGTACACCAGTTGCTCTGGCGACATGGATTGTGGAGATGCTGGTGGAAGATGTATGATGAATGATCAGGTGCTTGATCCTGGTTCCAGCCTCAGATGGGTTGACGCTGTCGCAAGGCATGGTGGCAGGTCAATCAGAACTTTCCTGCGGACAAAGACTTCGGACCCTTTCAATCTTGGACAAGGTTGAAATTTCAACATAATTTCTGGAATTCTGATGTCATACAGATCTCAATTGCTAGCCAAGATTAAGATTCTGAGGAAGAAACTAAGGCATGCAAAGTTGAAGCCACATGGTTTTGAGTGACTCTGCATCAGATTTATTCGGGGGGATCTAGAGAAGCAAGTTCCTATCAACACAGCATTTGGAAACAACATCACCAAACTCAAGGACGAAATTCCGAAGATGGGATCAACCTTGCAGCGGGCATTGCCCGCTGCTTCCGATTCTCAGGTGCTCTCCTCCTTTTCAAGATCATGTCTTGTTGACACTTCTTCCAAGGAACTTTCGAGAATTAGAAAGGAAATGGCAAGAAGCTTCACAGCGATAAGGAAGAGAGTAGTCGGTAACAGCAGATTAGTGGTACAGACACTCTCTGACGCGTTTGTGTTTGTTCAGATTTCAACTTGTCAATGCACAAGTCTGAGGACGAACAAGATCAGATCCTCCTCAAGTTGAGCGATCTTAACTTCTCTGAAGTCGCACCAGACAGTCTGTCTTCACCGTATGCCACGATCAACGAGTTGAGACGTGAGCTGGTGGATCTGAACACGTCCAAGGCACAAGACAGCTTCCTGTCACAAGTCAACCGCACATGGAAGCAATATCACGATTGGGAAGACTATGTCGACAAAACAAGAGATGAGCAGTTTGGAAACGTTTTCAGGCTCAGCTTCATCTCCAACTTACAAAAACTTCTGTACCATTTCTTTAGTATTAACGTGGTTCGCAAATCACAGTTGCAAGTGATCAAGGAGGAGATCGACGACATTCGAGACGCGGGCGACTCGGGGAGAAGCAACACATGGATGAGACTCAACAGGATCAGAGAACATCTTAACTACAGCCGGGTCATGCCGCTTGTGACGAGGATCGCAGAGCTCAACGACAAGAATGATCTTGCTGTTCGGAGCTTGCTGCGGGCGATCCTTGATAGAGCTCAGAACGGGTCAAGAGCGAACGTCACGTCCTGACTCACTTGTGTTAGTAAACGCCCGTCACATACAAACTCACTTATTAGTAGTGCCTCACTGATGTGTGATCGGACCGTTGACGTACCCCGCGGGCCGCCGGACAACCCGGCGGGCTCGGATTCATACCGGGCCGAACGCACCGTCACTGAAGCCACCTTAGTCTGCCTCGGACCGTAAGGAATCAGGCTGACTCCGCCGGGGCCCGGGGAGCGGTCCGACGATCACTGCCGCACTGTAGCGTAGACTTACCTGAACGTGTCCGACGCCGCTGGTTCCTATCCGGCTGACTCGCGTAATCGACAAGAGTCAGCGAGTGCGGCTGACTGGAAGCATCTGACTGGTTTGATTGATCCGTGGGCCCTGACTCGAGGCTTCGGATGAGTCGCAAGGGCGAGGGGAGGGGGCGGATCCCGGCTCACCAGCTCTAGGTCCGAGGAGAGAGGCTGACGGGGTGCGGCTGGTCCGATCAGCTAGTAGGCTCCTCCCCTCCTCCCCTCAGTCCTCCCCTCACAGTCTGCTCCCAGTCCTTCCCTCACTGTTCCCTCAGGCTCCCCTCCTCCCCTCCGACGAGGCTGTGAAAAAAAAACTTTTACAAGGATAACGTATGTCAGCACCCCACCCCACCCCTTCATCAAATACCCCGGATCATTAAACCCCTACCCCAATTTTTCCAGTGTGATACCCACGTTTGTCCAATAATTATTACCTATCATAGTACCCCTACCATACATTTCTCACTACCCCACCCTGGCCCTTCGCCCCCCGCCAGGTTACTCGGTCTTGCAAGCGAACACTCAAACCCCATTTCCTCCCACCCCACCCCCCGTGATGTTTCACCCCCACCTACTTCAATCACTCTGACTCACCCGTACTTTCTACGCTTCATCCCGTTACACACATGGGTAGTAGTACCTACCCACGTTACCTGCAGGGATGCAGGGACCACCCCCTACCCTGTAGAGGATACAAATTCACCCCCGCCCTCACGAGGCTCCGACAGGTTTATGTCAGTGGGAAGAGGCTAGAGCGATCGAGGGAAGCGAGGAGAAGGCGGAGGAGAGAGGGAGACCATGGCCATGAAGTCAGAGGATGCGATGCTTGTTTGGAGGAGAAACAGTGAGCGCAAGAAGCAGCAACAGCACGTGTGGACGATGAATGAAGGGGTTTGGATGGCAAAGGAGGTGTACGTGCTTAGTGTGTAAGGAATCGTTGAGGATGGGCTTACAATCAGGACCAACAAGAATGGTGAAGATTGTTTGATTGAATGAACAATGCGTGAGCGGCTCAAAGGAGGTGTCGAGGAACGGGACGAGGAGGTGTATCTCGTAGAGGCGTAGAGGCGATTTTCACGTCACCAGTGGCCAGTGGAGCAATCAGTGGTGGCGCTAGCAAGAGAATGTGTGAAAGATGACAGAGCGAAGTTCGATGAAAGTGATGAAATGGTGGTTGTCAACACAGCACACATCGACGTAGCTGTAGCCCGTAGTCTTTCATGCTTGTTCTTGTTTACTCGATCGTTGTAACATACTTGTGTCAGATGTGGAAGGCTACGGTTGTTGCCTCGTGCCTCGCATCGGCACAGGTTGTCTCTTCCTTCCAGTTCACTCCTTCTCTCTCTCATGCTCGTCTCGGCTCCTCCCCTTCCATGTGCTCGAGCAGGAAGGTGAGGTCCGTTGGTCGCCTCCAGCCGAAGATGGTGGCATCGGCTCCATCCAGCGCTCAGGTCCCAGCAGAGGAGCAGTGGGTGTTGAACCTTGACTACGAAGGGTTCCGCCGAGAAGTGGCAGACTTGGGCAAGGAGCTGGAGCAGAACCAGGGAGCTGAAGACGTTGCTCACTTGAAGAAGATCTGCCTGTGGTCGGACATCTGCGCGGTTGTCGGGCTGGCGACCATGTGGTTGCCGCTCAACCCGATCTCGGTGATCGCGCTTTCCCTCTGGAAGTTTTCGCGCTGGACGACCATCGCTCACCACACCGGACACGGAGGATACAACAGGGCGGACGAGACCAAGTTCTTCAACTCCCGCGGGTTCGCGACTGGCTCGCTCTTTAAGCGAGTGACACAGTGGTTTGACTGGATGCTGCCCGAGGCGTGGAACATCGAGCACAACAACCTCCACCACTACCGTCTCGGAGAGCGAGACGACCCCGACCTCGTGGAGAGGAACATGCACTTCATCAGGGAGCTTAAGGTGCCTTCAGCGCTCAAGTACATGGTCGTTGGTTTCTTGATGTGCACCTGGAAGTGGTTCTACTACGCCCCCAACACTTACAAGGAGCTCAAGATCGCCGAGATGCGCAAGGCAGGCAAGGCGATCACCTCCGACATGAAGGCAACTGACGCGTACACGCTCAAGTCGTACCTGGACCCTGCCTTTGGGGTTGAAACCTTCCAGTGGTACTCGTTCATGGACCTGTTCAAGAACGTCATCGGCCCCTACCTCATCCTCCACTTCTTTGTTATGCCTCTCCCCTGCCTCCTCATCAGCCAGCAAGCGTACGTGAACGCTCTCATCAGCCTCGCCTTGGCGGATGTGCTCACCAACATCCACTCGTTCATCGTGATCGCTACCAACCATGCGGGCAGCGACCTGTACAAGTTTGATGACGGATGCAAGCCCAACTCCGCGACCTTCTTCATGCGCCAGGTCGTGTCCTCGACCAACTTCAAGACCGGAAGCGACTTCAACGACTTCATGCACGGGTGGTTGAACTACCAGATCGAGCATCACGTATGGCCGAACCTCAGCGCTCTGAGCTACCAGCGAGGACAAGCCAGGCTCAAGGCCATCTGCGACAAGTACGGGGTCCCCTACGTGCAGGAGAGCGTCTGGATCCGCCTCAGGAAGACAGTTGACATCATGGTCGGCAAGGCGAACCAGCGCCAGTTCCCTTCCTCCCTCGAGCGCCAGTCGGACCTCAAGGTGAAAAGAGAGGAAAAGGAGATGAAGGAAAGAGGAAGGGGAAGAGGGGGAGCGATGACGAGGAGAGAGAAGGGGGAAGGGAAGGCACAGTCAGGAAGAGATGTTGACATGCGCTGCAGGTGTGGAGCAACGAGGACATCGCGGAGAACAGCGCGAAACTCGGACAAGATGTCAAATTGAAGCCTGCTGTTTAAGTGTATTGAAATTCTTTCTCTTTTTGTTTGTTCACTTGTTAAAACTCGACTTTCTACGTCTGTTGTGTTGCTTCCTCCCTGGGAACATCCAAAGTTATGAACATTCCGAACAGCGCTGTCTCTCCTCTTTACCTGCCTGGCTGTCCTCCGCTGTTCTTGACTTCATCGCCCTGCTTTTTCAACCTTACGCAACCATCCCTGTCACCAGCGTCAGCCCTGCGATCAAGATCTTCCGCACGCACATCAACAGTTGCGAGGAAGCGACGCGGGTCCTCTAGGTGTGCCATGTGGCTCAAACCCGCAAGCTCCGCGTACTCTGCACGTTCGATGCCCTCGACGAAAGGAGCAACGAGTTCCTGCAGAGCAGTGTAAAGAGAGAGCTGGAAAAGGGAGAGGAGGAGGGCAGGTAGAGGAGAAGGTAATGAAGAACCTTGGAGATGTAGTCATGCTCTCCTCGCATCACCAGCGCAGGAAGATTCCTCGGCCACTTGCTCTCAAGATCCTTCTGGTCGATCCGAAAGTCCCCAACCTCAACCATCTCAATCAGTCGAGCACCTTCGAGCTCCACCGCTCACAGAGGTTGCGCCTCGCCACACGACACCGAGGTGGCAGAAGGCCTCCTGCAGGCAGAGAGGAGAAGACTTGAGGCGCAGGTTGTGCATGGTCGTGAACTTGTCGTTGGCCACCTGCCGAACGCCTTGAGCATCAGGGAGAGCAGAGACAAAACTCACCTGCAGCTTCCATTGCTCAACCCAATCCTTCTCGCGGGGCCAGTCAGGCCTCATCCCAAGCTCGTCAGGTGAGAGCCCGTCAAGCTCCCTCTTGTACTCGTCGATGATCTTCGTCGCTCGTTCCTGCGACTCAGCAGGAGACGCGGGAGAGCTCGCGAGAATGACAGACTTGAGGCCTGAAAGGAGCTTCGGGTGGTGGGCCAGGTGACGCATCACCACCTCTGCTGCCAAGCATCCTCCCCAGCTGTGACCCAAGAGGTGGAACCCACCTGCCTCCAGGAGGCCATGGAACTCAGCGAAGTGACTGAGCATGGTCGCCGCGTCCTCCGCGCTTTGCCGCACTGAGTAGAACTCCTCCTCCTCAGGCTCGTCAGACCTTCCACATCCCAGCTGATCGTAGAAGAACACGCTCCTGCCCCCCATCTGATTCAGCCCCTCCAGCGGTTCCAGGTAGTGCGAGGGAACTCCCGGCCCCCCGTGCAGGACCACAACAGGCAGAGCCGACGAGCGATCGTCCGCCGCCTTGCTGACTCCATACCATATGGAATAGCCTCTCACTCGCAAACTGCCTTCTTCCTTCATCTCCAGACTCCGTTTGATAGCGCTTTTTGCTCTTTGTCGCATCAGCATGGTGTTGACTTTGAAACATCCTGCTCGCAATCCGCCACAAGTCCCCATGAAGGCAAACATGCCGGGAGAGACGCGGCTCGTCCTCGTTTCTCCATCCGCCAACAGAAACAAGCTCAGCAGGGACAGGAGCCTTGTCGATCGCATCTTGAAGGAGCTGCCAGCCTTGACTCTTGTCTCTCCCTCTTCTCTCCTCCTCCTCTTCCCCTCTGTTCGCCCTGACCTCCTGGTCCCGGCAGACGTATAAAGGGTTTAGATCAGAAAGAAGGTTTAGGCATTCTCACCATATCGGTTTAGATCAGAAAGATTAGGTTGAACCCATTTCCCGCGCTTTCGCCATGAAGAGATCCAACGATGGCGGCGGCGGCGGCGGCGGCGGCGGCGGAGGAGGAGGAGGAGGAGGAGGGAAGAAGAGCAGGCTGATGCAGAAGACAGCAGCAGAGTTCTTCGCGGAGAACAAACACTTCGCTGGTTTCGAGAGCCCCGGTAAGTCTCTCTACACGTCGATCAGAGAGCTGGTGGAGAACAGGTGGGAGGGACGGCGAGCAGAGAATCGTGATTGAAGTTTTCATCAGTCTCGATGCAGCAGAAGCCATCGGCGTCCTTCCTGAAGTCCACATCATGATCGAAGAGATCAAGATGGCGACGTTTCGCAAGATGCACGGCATGGACGGCAGCGAGAAGGTTTCCTTTTCGGTGGGCTCCTGTTTGTGAGTTTTGCTTCACAGATCGACCTCGACCTTTACAAGAATGCGGAGGCTGGAGAAAGCTCGGCTCCCCAGAAGAAGCCTGCGGGGAAGAAAGTGAGCGCAAAGGACATGACATTCTTCAAGTTGACCGTCACCGACAACGGCTGCGGGATGAAGCACGAAGAAATCCCAAAGATGTTCGGATCTGTGCTGTCCGGAACCAAATACGGAGTGAGGCAGGTGATCGATCGATAGATGTGGAAATGCTTTCAAGATCCTCAAGGGGCAGCACAGGAGCGAGGGAAGTTTGGGCTCGGATCGAAGATGGTCTTGATCTGGAGCAAAGTACTCCAACAAGTCATTCTGTCTAGTTTCTCACTTGGCCTCGATCTCGTCAGATGAGTACAGGATTGCCTATGAAAATTCGAAGCTCCACCGGAAGCACAAAGCCAATCTCAGTCGTCAAACTTGATCTTGGTACACGAGGTTGCAGTTTCTCATACAGTGACATGGTTTTCGGCAAGACATTCATGCCAATGCCCCCAAGGTTCATCAGCATGACAAAGAATCCAACACCATCGGGTGATTGTTCCGCAGGGAAGGACTCAAGATCTGAATTTAACACGCAGATGGCGCGGGTCCCAGGTGGAAGTGACGATAGGCGGAGAGTTCAGCAAGTACAAGGGCTATATTGTGAAGTACTTGAGAGAGATGGCAGTTATCACTCCATATGCTCGGTACGCCGGTATATTCGAGAGCTCAGAATGACTGACATCTTCGTAGGTTTGAGATGCACTACATCTGTGAAGATAGTTCCAAGTCTTTTCAGATCATTCATTCACGAAGAAGTGAAAACATGCCGCCGCCTCCCTGCAAGGCAAAGGTCCGAGTGCTTTCCCTCTTTCCTCCTCTGCCGTTCTGAAGAAGCTGATGTCAGGTGCACCCGTCTGCACTGGATAATCAGATGATGGAAAATCTTATAAATCAATCATATCAGAAAGTTTTGCTACGGTATATGTTTTTTGGCGTCGTCTTGTGATTTGACGTTTTCCAGCTTCTTGACAGCGGAACTGGATTCTGTGGACACAAATCTGGCGAAGCGAATGATAGATGAATTTGGTTCAGAATTCTCTTATGAAATGCCCATCACCTCCATCGATAGCAGCAAGATTCGAAAAATTGTGAAAAAGATCTTGCAGCAAAAGTTGGATCAGGAGTTGACGTCTTTCAGGTTGATAAAATACTTCAATTCGAATTCGACCCGCCAAGTGGTGCAGTCCTCAGTCCTGCAGGGGAATATAATCTACATCTTGGAGTGAGTGCGCTGTCTCTACCATGCTCTGTCTGAGTAGCGCGCAGGTCATGAAGGAAATGAAACCAGACCTAATTGCGACAAGCACTCCAGATGTACAGCATCATCTGCACAATAATTTTGAAAGCAGTGATCGTTGTTGAAGGTGACGGTTGTCGATGGACATCCTGTGATCGTTGAAGCTGCTGTGTCGCTTGGTGGAAGAAAAGCAAAGGAAGGCATTACGGTGATCTCTTGACCCCAAAAGAATTGGCATAATGTAATGTGCTCAGGTGCACAGATTCGCCAACAGAATTCCTATGCTCTTTCAGGGCGGAAACGATGTATCCCGTTTCTGATCCTGATAATTTGATGTTAAATGATTGTCAGGTTTCAGTGAAGACGGCAAATACACGTATCAACTGGAAATCTTATCGTAAGTTCTTATACAGATTAATTCTTCGTTGTTTTCATTTTTCCAAGGTATGGACAAGAATAGCCATAAAATTGGAGTGTACATCAGCATCTGTAGCACAAAAATCCCATATGGAGGGCCAAACAAGGAATATATCGGAGATGAGAATGAAGATCTGCAGAGAGCTGTGAGTCAGATTAATCTAATTTGCATGATTCTCAACTTATTGGTAGGTGAAAGAGGCGATCATGAAGTGCTGCCTCCAGTTGAAGTCACGTCTCGCGAGGCAAGAAGCCATGAAGAATCAAAGAGAAAGGAAGAAGAACTTAGAGAAGTACATCCCTTCCGTCTCGAGAGCTCTCATTGGAATGTTGCAATCCATCAGTCAAGAGTAAGTGGTCAGATAGTCAGAAATGGCGATTGACTTCTTTCCCAGCACTTCCCCAGCAGCTGGGAGGGAACCGGATGTGCAGAAGGTTCTGGAAATGCTGAAACAAAAGGAGGTGTCTGAGGAGATTTTACAACACCGCCTTCGAACTTTTGTAGAGGAAGCTGACATGGAACAGGTTGCGAAACGTTTGATAGATTTCCGTATTGATCAGTTGCACACAGGCAATGGGAGGAGTCCAGACAGACGAAGCGAACATAGTCCGTGAAGATGCGTTCCTCTGCCTTTTGAATCAGGCTAGGAAATTCGAGAGAGATGTGCATAGCACTACATCAGTTTTCCGGTTTCTCATGTGAAGACAACTTCATTTAATGTTCACCGAGAGAAGCCATAAACTCATCGATCGACTTCAAGAATGCAGTGCGAGCTCGCGGCTTCAGCTCCATGCTTGTGCACAGGTCGTCGACTTCTTCGGTATTCTTTGACAGCACGTGCTCCACAAGCTTGTCGACGATGGCTCGAGGCTTCTGGAACTCCTTGCTTTCATGCTCGAAGAGACGATCTAGCTTTCCCTCGCCCGCAGCCAACAGGCTGACGATGATCTCGCTGAACTGGCGAGGAGATCCCCAGCTCTGATGCATCGCTGCATGCCATGCGCGAGCGCGAGCTCGCTGCTTCTCGGCCTGGGAGGAGTCAGGGAGGGAGGGGGGAGGGGGGAACTTGCTGTGGAGCACCTGAGGAGAGCGATCGTCCCTGGGCAAGTCAGCGATCTGCGACAACTCGAAGCGAAGGCGGGAGGCGACCTAGCGCAGGGTGAGCCCAGCACGTCAAATGTCCTCCAGTCTCACCTGCCGCATCGCCATGGAGTTGGGGACTGCCAAGTTGTCAGCTCCTATGCCGACCCTGGCGACAGAGCTGGCAGGGTCGATGGGAGGGCTGGCGAGAGTCAGTCAGCGAACGAGGAGGAGGAGAAGCGTCTCACCGTATCCCCTGCTCGAGCATCTTCTCGCTGAGAATGATCTGACCGTCAGAGAGGGAGATAAGCTCCTCTATGTGCTTCAGCTTGAACTGAACTTCTTGCGCCTATGAGATTACGAGCATGTCACGTCACTTTCAGCTGGCAAGCAGCACGTACTGAAGCTCCAGGGGAGGGGATGCCCAACTTTCCGAGCACTTCCTCCGTTATCGCTATCCCCTTGTCCTCCATCAGCTGGATCCTAGCTCTCACCTGCTCGCAGTCAGTCCCACACCTCCAGCTCGAGCGCTCTTGCGCCACCTTGGAGCCATAGAGCGAGGGGTCGAAGTCGCTCATGGTGAACTTCTTCCCCTTGTCGCCGCTGCCTATCCGGGGACGATCGACGAGGAGGAGCATGGAGAGCGAGCCTCCGCCGGCCTGATTGTTCAGATACCCGACGCGCTGAAACAAGGAGGAGTAGAAGGCCCGCATCTCTGAGTTGGCGGCGGCGATGGCCGAGCTGCTGTTTGCAAGCGTTTCTAATCCGACCTCCTGCAGGATGCTTCGCTCCGTCTGATCCCAGAATTTCTTGTGCTCCTCTAGGTCATCAACAACCACCAGCGTGTCCTTCCCTTTCCTTCTCCAGTAGTCCGCGATCGAAGTTCCTGCTGCTGCTGCTGCCACACACACGCTGGGGTCGACGGCTCCCTGTGAGGGCTCTACAGCAACGATGATCGAGTTCTTCAACGCTCCCTTCTGCTTCAGCGCGTCGCTCACTTCCTTCTCCTTCCCGTTCGTCACGACGTACACAACGATCGTCCCCTCCTGCGCCTGTTTGCTCGCCGCGTCGATCGCGAGCTCTCGCCTGCCCAGGTCGAGGCCTCCCACCACCAGCATGTTCTGACCCTTCCCTATCGGCACCAGCGAGTCGACTGCTGTGATGCCGGTGTGCATCGGCTTCGAGATGGTCGCCATGTCTGCTTGTGCGGTGCTTGCCCCGAACATCAGGACATCATCTCCATTGCTCGCTTCGCCTCCTCCAAGTATTCTGTCGGAGACGTCAAGGAAGGAGATAGAGAAGAGCCTCTGCTGTACCTGCCCTGGAAGTCGATCGTCTTCCCCAAGAGCGTCTCGTCTACCTTCAGCGTCGAGTTCTGGTTGATGACCGTTGCGCTCGTTTCCTCCAGCTCTCCTGCGGTCTGGGAAACCTTCAGCGCGAAGACGAAAGGGAATCTCTGCCACAAGACGATTCCTTCCTCCTTCTCGCCGAGTTTCACTTTCATCCCCTGGAAGTTGGCAGAGCTCACGCCCTCTGCTGTCAAGCCGCATCGCAGAACCACCATCCTGCCTACCTCGCCGAGGACCTGCGAGGAAACAGCCGACATGTCCGAACTCTTGTGAGACTGCAGCGAGGTCGCAGACATCTTTACGATCTTTGCTATGTCGTCGTTGCTGTGCATGAAGCGCGTTGCTCCTGTCGCTGCCCTCCTGTTGCTCACGCATCCCCGGTCGCTCCAGTAGCCTCGCACCGACCTGATGGCTTGAGTCCTGCTCAGCTCCAAATTTCTGAGCATGAGGAGAGGCGACGGATGCATGTGGAAGGAGAAACCGAAGGCATGTGAGCGCGAGGCAAGTAAGATCATCACTGTAGCCGTCAACCGCTTGGCGACCACCTGCATGCTGGCCTGCCGACATGTCAGACGGAAAACGTTAGAACAAGGACATAGCAAAGCTTCTTGTCTGTTTGAATGCTTACACAATTGATCCTGCTCCACAAGTCTGCACTTTCATATTCACACTAATGTTCCCTTTCACAGCTCCCTCTTCTTCAAATATCCTTCCCATCGCTGCATGGTGACCTGCTACCTGCGCAAACCCGTTGCCTGCTCGCTTCCTAGCCTTATCATAAGTTACTTGTATGCCGTTCTCCTTCTCCTTCTCATCTTTCTCCTCTTCCTCTCATCATCCATTTCCTCTTCTCCTCTTCTCTCCTCCATGGTTGCCCGTCCCCCTCCCTCTCTCTCCTCGTCTCCTCCTTGGCCTCCCTTCCTCCATTTTCCCTGCCACTGGTACCCACCCGTCTACTCCCCCTTACCACCCCCACCGTTCCCATTGCACCGGAATCCAGAAGATCGGCGCAAATGCGATGGGAGCGAAAGGAGGAAGGGAAGAAGAAGAGGTGAGGGATAGTGGGGAGAGGAAGAAGAGGAGGTGAGGGATAGGGAGCAGAGGAAGAAGAAGAGGTGAGGGATAGGGAGCAGAGGAAGAAGAGAAGGTGAGGGATAGGGAGCAGAGGAAGAAGAAGAGGTGAGGGATAGGGAGCAGAGGAAGAAGAAGAGGTGAGGGATAGGGAGCAGAGGAAGAAGAGAAGGTGAGGGATAGGGAGGATAGGAAGAAGAAGAGGTGAGGGATAGGGAGGATAGGAAGAAGAAGAGGTGAGGGATAGGGAGCAGAGGAAGAAGAAGAGGTGAGGGATAGGGAGCAGAGGAAGAAGAAGAGGTGAGGGATAGGGAGCAGAGGAAGAAGAGAAGGTGAGGGATAGGGAGGAGAGGAAGAAGAGAAGGTGAGGGATAGGGAAGGGAGGAGGGAGTGAACGGATTATTGATAAGACAGACAGGGAGATGAGAGCAGGGAAAGAGAGTCGCAAGACCAGGTAAGAGAAGATCTCGAGGAGAGGGAGAGAGAAAGAGAGGAAGGTGACACGAGATGGGTAAGAGAAATGGACGCGAGAGAATCGAATGTTAAGTTTCACTGCTACGTTCACTGTCTGGAGGTGGAGGGGCAGGAGGGGCAGGAGGGGCAGTAGGGGCAGGAGGAGGGGGTTCGGCGGATTCTTGCTGGACTTGTTTCAAGATCCTCATGATGTGATACTGCATGACTGGTTGTCCTCTGCTCGTCTTGGCGTTGAGCTTCCTCCTCCACTTGCTGCGAGTTTCCTTCGCCTGCGGGTCGTAGGTCAATCGAACAGATGAAGCAATACAGAATAAAGTAGGAGCAAGCTCTGGCTGAAGCAACAGCGTTACCTTTGCTTTTCTTGACTCAATCTCTTGCCTTCTGTGCTCTTTTTCTCGTCTCGCTGCTTCTTTCTCCTGCATCTTCTTGTCGTACTTGTCCATCCAACATGACTTCTTGGTCTGATTTCGTCTGGGATCAACCATGGCGCTTAGGTTTGCAAGAGGAGCTGCAGCTATCGTCTCTTTGCGCTCCATCACATCAGGAGCGCCGCTGCTCTTTCCTTGGTCGATCGCCTTTGAGAAGTTGAAATGAATCTCTTCCAGATCTGAGAATTCATTTTGGAGCGGCATCCCACACAAGGTGGGGATCTTGCGAGGAGGAGCCTTGTCTTGTTGAGCTGGAGCAAACCTGCTGTTGATGTCCTTCCTCGCTCTTGCTATGATCCGCTTCTTCCACTTCTCCGCTCGCGCTTCATGCAGCTTCTTGTTCTTCCAGTTTCTCTGCTGCTTGATCCCCCTGGCATTCACTACTGGAACCTTCCTGCGGATCGTCTCGCCCATCGTCTTGTAATCTTCTTCCTGCTCAGCGACAACCTTCAGAGTGCGGGGATCTTCTCGGAACCTCCTCATCTTAGCGATGGGAGGAATGATTCTTCTCTTTCTCTCCCCGTCATGAACTCTCAGGACGGGCTTCTTCTTCTTCTTCTTCTTCTCCTTCTTCTTCTTCCATTTTTCTTCTTTTCGCCGGTCGAAATCCTCTCTCGTTATCCCTTCGATGACTTCACCGCCGGACCCTCCTCTGATCCTCAGAAGCAGTTCTCGGATGCAGACACATTCATCTAGCTTTGTTCTTTCATCGAATCGCCGCCGAAGAGAGGGAAGATTGCATGCATTAGAACCTGATGAGGAGAGACAGACGTGCGGTGGGAGCGTAGAGAGTAGAGGAAGGAGAAGGAGCCGAGGACAAAGAAATTTGAGGTGAGAAGGTGAGGTAACTGGTAGACAGAACGAAGGTAGAGGGAGCAGGAGGAGGAGGAGAAGGAGGAGGAGGAGAGGAGGAGTAGAGGGTGAGAGTTGAGGGGCAATGCAGCGACGCTGCATGGAAGCGACCCCCGAAAGTCTTTTCTATGGATGTAACCACGCAAGCCGGGTGACCAGACTTTCCGATTTACTCTGAGGCAGGCTCTCTATTGGATATGAGGGCGATGAGTGAGGGATGAGGGGGATGAGGAGTCTAGGTTCGTTCGCAATGCACATCGGTTGTACCCGATAGATCGCCATGCACGCTTGGATGAGATGGGCGCCCTCCCCCTCCTGCATCCCCTCTTCACAGCCCTCATCTTCCGCTGCTCCCAATGCTGAAGCTACGTCCGCTGCGGGCAGTGGCAGCCATAGCGTCAGAAGGACAAGTCGCCAAGCTGCCCGAGATCTGCTGAGGAAGGTGGAGGGAGGGACTCCTCTACAGTCACAGCAGCTGTTAGATGACCTTGAGAACCTTGCGGGTGTTCTATCAGAGGGTGTTGACTCTTCGCAGGAGGAGGAGCAGGAGTCAAGCATGCACATGTTCGACGACGCTCGTACGGTCAACATGATCGACTCATTCGTAGCCGAGCTTGAGCAGTATGATACGGACAAGTCAAAGTCAAGCGAGGACTTCGAGGGATTCCAGCGAATACAAATAGCGAGATGGAACTTAGAGGCAGAGCTCGACAAATCGCGTGGAGTGCTGGAGAGGAGGAGGTACGTTCGGCGACGGATGAAGCTGCTTATGTGTGGAAATTTGGGGGAAGACTACGAGGACGAGGACGACTGCGACAGACCAAGATGGAAGAGCTTTCCTGAACTTGAAGGGAGTGAGATCCGCTCGCTCTGCTCGTGTGGTCAGAATGTGGGAGTCATCACGGAAGCTGGCGACATCTTCACCTGGGGAGCCAACAACTTTGGTCAGGTCGGAATCGCTCCCGAGGACGAGGACGAAGCAGCCCACGTCTGCTCTCCCTGTAAGCTTCCTCAGCTCCGCTCTGGTCTCCTCCGCAACGGACCGCCCAGGCAGCCGGCACAGCTTGCCGTCGGCCGGGGTCACATGGCGTGCGTGACAACGACGGGGGAGCTGTTCACTTGGGGGTGTAACGACCATGGGCAGCTGGGGAGAGACTCGAGCTACAAGTCTACACGTCAAAGAGACCAGGTGGGGACAGTGATGCGCCGACACTTGTTTTCTGAGCTCCCCTCCGAACTGTCGATCAAGAACGCGTTCTCTGCCGCGCCGGGGCATGCTCTCGACGCCTCCTATCGGGCTACCCAGGTAGCCTGCGGGAGCGATTGGACGTGTGTGGTTCTCGAGGAGGAAGGAGTGTTTCATGCACAGACAGGCAGGAGTATGCTGCTCTCCTTCGGGAGGAACGACAAGGGTCAGTGCGGGCATGGGCACAGCAGTCAGCGAGCAGACATGGCCTTCGTCAAGCTCAGTGGCGTCGTCCGGACCCTCGCATGCGGCGAAGGCCACACGATCTGTGTGTGCTGGGGCGACGAGGTCTATGCATGGGGAGCGAACGAGTGCGGTCAGCTGGGGATCGGGATCCAAGGGGGGGAGCATGGTCACCTGGCGGGTCTTGTGAGCGCGTCGGGAATAGGAGAGGATTGGATCGCAGAGCCGTGCAGGGTCGAGAGTCTTTGCGGCAGGCGATGCGTCATGGTGGCTGCTGGGCTCTTCCACTCTGCTGCCTTGGTGAGCTCCCGCGTGACTTGAGTTCTAGCTGAGCAAACTGCTGGGCAGGTGCTGGGAGGGACGGTGTGGACCTGGGGGGACAACACATACTGTCAGCTGGGCGTGAGGGCGAGGGCTGGTGGCTCACCGTTAGAGTCACAGACGTTTCCAGAGCCGCAGGTGGTGGAGAGCATCGTCGATCAGGCCGTTTGCTTCCTCTCCTGCGGTGACTTTCACACGGCAGCGACAACCCTTGGCGGCATGATGTTGACTTGGGGCAAGAAGCTCGAGGTCCGCGCAGCCGGGGCCGGGAAGTACTTCTCTTGTGATGCCGAGGTCGCCTGGAACTCGGGGGAGAAACAGCATGCGTTGGCTGACGGGAGCATGGGGACCCTCTGGTGCTGTCAGACTTCCTGCGGGGAGGAGCACACAATCATGCTGGTGGTGGAGGCTGCGGACGCGCGGAAGGAGCCAACTGAAGTTTGGGAGCTGCGGCAGGAGATTGAGCAGGACGACGAGTCGCTCGTGACGCGATCGCAGGCACTGACTGGCCTCTCCTTGATCTTACGCGTGCTCCTCAACCTGGAGATCATGTTGACCCGTCCGCTGAGGTACTTGGCTCCTGCTCTTGTTGCCATGTCCTTCTCATGCCTGGCAGACGATCGTTAGAGTCGGTGTACCCGATCCTAGAAGAGAGCGAGCTACAAGGTCTCCTCCCCTTCCCTCCCCTTCCCTCCCCTCGCTCCCCTCCCCTCCTTTCTCCTCCTCTCTCCTCTCTTTCTCTCTCACTTCTCCTGCGCTCTCGGCTTGTTCCGTCCACTTGTGCACCCTTCCCGGTCGATAATCGGGTCTTCCGCCAGGTGTGATAGGACGAGATGGTTTGGCTAGCAGGGCGAGGGAGCACGTGGAGGTTTGAGGGCGCGAGGCCTTGAGACGTTTTGACTCACCGGAGACTTCAGCTCGTCTTGGAGCAGCTGGTGAGCAGCTGGGAGAGAGGGCTGCCCAACGTGACGCTGAAGGACATATTGGGTTTGTCATACTCGAGAGCTCTCGCTGCGTCTCATCGAGTCTCTGCAGTCCGCGAGCACGAAGGCTTCCAGTCGTTGGTGAAATTCCTCGACAACTGCCCAGCTCAGCTCCTGGCGATGAGGTCCGACTCGCCTCTTCCTTCCCCTCGTGACCTCCTGTGCAGGAGAGCGTTGAAGAAGCTCCGGTTCGCTAAGTTCGCTGATGATGCCGGGAAGGAGCTGGTTGCCTCGGGTTCCTCCCTCCCTCCGCTGCTGCAGAACCTGACAGGCTGCAGGCACCTGGTCCATCCTCCGACACCCATGGGGCAGGCTCTTCACGCTGGATCAGACCCCTTCCGTCCTCCAGGAGCTCGAAGCTCCTTCTGGTCTCTGTGCTGTCTGTGAGCAGGTGACGTTCTTGACTCCTTCCCCCGAGCTAACCACGCCCTTCAGCCTCTCGCCATGCTCGCAGGCAGCGGAGGAGCTCATGGTCGTTGCAGCATCGCGCTGAGCAGCAGGATGTCTGCTGCTCGGGTTGCTCGAGAGCAGCAGGAGGAAGTCTCGACGCTGCTGCTGCTGGAACCTCGTCTCGTGAGTCCCACGGAGAGCCGAGGAGTGAGTCTTTCCTCCTCCTCCTCCTCCCGCTCTGACGTCTCTCTTAGATCTGGCTCGATTACTCCCGCGCGTGCTGCTGCATCCCGAGCCTGCTGGCTGCGAGCCTGCTGTCGCTGGTGGACCTGAGGTACTGCATCAAAGCAGGAGACGAGGAGGAGACCGTGGGAGGAAGCGAAGGTCGTGCTGTCCCCAAGGACTTCTGCTCTATGCACTCCAGGCTGGTGCAGCTCGCGTCATCGATGCACCGAGCAGCTGCCGTTGAGGTCGAGGGGAGACGCGTTGTGGTACTTGAGACCCTCCGCTGCTGCCGCCGCTGAGCTGAGGGACAGGCGGAAGGAACGAGTATGAGCGAGAGATGGAGGAGGACGTGGAAGGCGGTGAAGAAGGTCTGGACGATGGTGATCAGAGTGTCAGGGCTGGACAGCTGCGGCGATCTCGGCCCCTTCTTCTTCCTCCTCCTCTTCCTCTGGTTCTTTGGCCTCCCCTTTGCTCTCATCTACGTCCTCTCAGACTTGCCCATGTACGACCCCAGCGGCTGGCAGCAGGTTCTTTCCTCCTCCTCCTCCTCCTCCTCCTCCTCCTCCTCCTCCTCCTCCTCCTCCTCCTCCTCCTCCTCCTCCTCCTCCTCCTCCTCCTCCTCCTCCTCCTCCTCTCCCTCCTCGAGGCACTGAGAGGAAGCAGGTGCTGGCCACCAAGGTTCCGATCTCGCTCTATATCGCTTCGGGCTTCTTCTTTCCCCTCGCTCGGGTCTTCCGTTCTATGAAGCTCACCGATCGAGCTCAACTCCAGCACGGCTCCAGCTCAGCCCGAGACAACTTCAGCAACAGGTCGCTGCTCGCCTCTCAGCTCCCGACTGACTCGTGCTGCTCAGGCTGGTCTGCTTGGCGCTGGTCGTTGAGGCCTGGCAGCTGGTGGCTCTCGCCTTCGGGGAAGGGATGCCCTACGACAGCAGCGGCTTTGCTCACCTTGCCTCTCCTGCCGAAGGTGCTGCTGCTGCTGCTGCTGCTGCTGCTGCTGCTGCTGCTGCTGCTGCTGCTTCTGCCGCTGCTGCTAATCCTCATCCTCATCCTCATCCTCATCCTCATCCTCATCCTCATCCTCATCCTCGTCTGCTTCCTCCGCCTCCTCCTCTGACGGCATGTAGTGGGCATGTCCGGCGTCTCCTGCAGAGTAGCAGGCATCAACTCCATCATGCTTTGGGCCCTACTGGACCTGCGGCTGACCTGCACGGCATGGCTGGACGAGGTTGTTGGCGTGTCGCTTCTGAGCTGCCTGCCCGTCCTCTGGCTCGTCATGCGCAACCTCTCTCGTCAGGGCGCCAAGTCATGGGGGGCGTCATCGCTGTTGGAGCAGAGGCGATTCATAGGCTTCTCTCCTGCTAGAGCCTTTGTCGGTCAGATGCTCGGGCCCTTGTTCGCCTCCGTCCTCTTCATGCCGATCCTCGCGCGAGTAGCCCAGTCGCTCTCGTGCTCCTTCTCTTACGACCGCGGGTACCTCATGCTCGACACGTCGCTCCACCTCGCCGACTCCAGCTTGTTCAACGTGCTCGTCCACTCTCTGCCTCTGAGAACCTGACGCCTCCCGCAGGCCACGTCCTGCTCCAATGTCAAGACCATTGCGGTCGCGCGAGTGGTAGGGGAGGAGGAGAGTGGGGGGGGAGGAAGGAGGAGCAGGGGGAGGAGCAGGGTCAGGAGGAGGAGGAGGAGGAGGAGGAGGAGGAGAGGAGGAGGAGGCGCTGAATGATGGCAGGGGGATGTCGTGCCGCGCTACCTGCACTCGAGCTTCGTGTTGGGATACTTCGACGAGATTTGGCCATGGCGACCTCGTGACCTTCCTGTGTCTCTCTGCGGGGCCATCCCATGCTGGGAGTTTCGACTAGGGAGCGGAGGAGTCTTGCCGCATGCCTGGTACGCCTTCATCGGCCTCCTCGCCTTCGCCTTGTTCTTCCCCTCCAGCTGTTTCATCCACTTCCCCGAGACGCCGCCGAACCCCAACGTGGACCTGGTCACCCTCCCCTCTTTCATCGTCGAGTCGCAGGTCGTCAAGGCTGCCATGGTCTTCATCAGGTGTGAGGCAGCACCCGAGTCTTCGCCTGACGGCTGGCAGGGAGCTCTACCGCCGGTCCCGATGGCCGTCGCTGCTCGCCAACGTCATCGGCTGCTCCTTCCTCTTCTTCCGCCACTTGCGCGTTCGCCCCGTCGCTGTCTCCTGGTTTGCTAACCTGCAGCGCATGGCGTACCTGCTCGCCGCCTGGTCCTCCCTCGCGTCGCTCCTCTGCATGTTCGTGCTATGGGATGGGTAACGTTGCGTCTTGTCTTGCATGGCAGGGGCTGACCAGCTGGCAGAGCCCCGGGCTCGCTCTTGCCTGCTCGCTACTCCAACTACGCCATCATCTTTCTGCTCATCGGCTACGCCACCATCATCCTCCTCTCCGCCATCGCGTGGAAATTTCTAGGTCGACGAGAACGAAGCAGCGAGGAAGAGGAGGAGGAGGAGGAGGAGGGACGCTCTTTCCTCTCCATCCGAAGCTCTCGCAACGCGGCTAAGCGCTGGTGGGACATCAAGGGCGTCGCTGCCCCTCGTGAGCAGCTCGGAGCTCCGCGTATCCGCCTTGCTGCCGGGACTCGAGCCAGAGCAGAGGTAAGGGAGGCATGGGAGAGAGGAGAGCAGAGCAGAGAAGAGGAGAGCAGAGCAGAGAAGAGAAGAGCAGAGCAGAGCAGAGCAGAGCAGAGAAGAGGAGAGGAGAGGAGAGGAGACAGGAAGAGACAGGAAGAGACAGGAGGTGACGTGTGTGAGGGCAGGAGATGAGGAGGAGGTTCTTCTCCTCTTGGCCGGGCAGGCTTGTGCTTTGGGCAGGGCAGCTTCTCTCTGCTTGTTTCTGCGGGAAGGCTTCGACGGCTAGCAGCAGCTACTTGCCCGTGCATGAGGTACCGATGGAGCTCGTCGACTTCCCCTGACCCCTTGCAGGAGAAGGAGACGCCGCGATGGTCGGAGAGCGAGTACCTTAACCTCTCCTATCAGTGTCTCGGCACAAGCTTCCAGCTGCCCGAGCTCCGTCACGTCGTCCTCAAGTCTCGTCTTAGCATCCGCGTGCTCAAGCTCGCACACAACGAGCTTCGCTCCTTCCCTGTCAGCTGCAGCATGCCTCTCCTGGAGCTCCTTGACCTTGCCTTCAATCGTTTGAGGTCTCCTCCTCCTCCTCCTCCTCCTCCTCCTCCTCCTCTCCCTCTCCCTCCCCCTCCCCCTCCCCCTCCTCCTCCTTCTCAAGTGACGTTGCTGCACCCAGCTCACTCGACAGCTTGCCCCAAGCTCCTTCTCTACAGACTCTCAACGCTCGCAGCAACGACATCAGGTCGCAGCCCAGCAGTCTCAGAGCTCTCAAGAGGTTCCGCGGCTTGCGGCATATCGTCCTCGAGGAGAACCCGGTCGCTGTCGACTTAACTTCCTACGTGCGACTCATCAGCCTCCTCGTCCCTGACCTCGAGACGCTCGACGGGAGTTCGTTCCACCGGGTAGAGGACGCGGACGAAGACGCCTCACCAACGGCAGCGAGCAGGAGGAGCATGCTGGCGAGAGTCACCTCTGCGTTTGCGAGGATGACGAGCTGGATGGCACCAGAGGACGAGGGAGGGGTGGATGAGATCCTAGAGGACGGGACGATAAGGAAGAGCTCCTTCCTCCAAACGTCTCTCAGCCGCGGTGTTTCCCTGCTCCTCAGAAGCAACAGGAGGCTGGGGAGGAGGAAACGGACGTACAACGTCATCGAGCGCAGGCCGACAAGCATGCTGCTGGAGATGTCAGACGAACCCAACAACGTGCGGGGGAGACGTTCCAACAGTCGCAACATCTCGTCGTCGGTTGAGCAGGGCGAGTGAGAGCAGATTTAGCGCGTATGTACATGTACTACCCTTGTATCCAACACTCTCAGCTACCATGACGGGGGCCCGTCATGTCCCATGTAGGGCGGCACGAAGCCCTTGTGAGCGAGGGCGAGGGCGAAGGCCGTCTTGAAGAAGGCGGAGCTGAACTGGCCGATGAGAGCGTCGCAGCTCGACAGCAGCAGGAGGTCCACCAACGCGCTCTCAGCCACCAGCCGCCGGTCGATGCGTCCGATCCTGGTCATGAGCGTCTGAGTCCACCCGGTGTTGAGGAACTCGCGAGGAAGCGCGTCGAGGACCATCCAGTGCAGGTCCGGCATGCGATCCCGCAGCTCGTGCATCATCCATGGGCTGTCGGTCGCCAGGTAGACGGAGCGGAGGCCGTAGCGATCCGTCATGGCGCGGATGGAAGGGAGGAGCTCGCTTGCCTGCACGCACTTCCTCGCATGAGCCTCGTTGCAAGCTTCTCCGTGTCTCACGTGCACCCCCAGAGCAGGAGAGCGGAACCTCACACTCCTCCTGGCCGCCTGCAGCAGCATCTCCAGCTCCATGCTCGGCCGCATGACCAGCTGAAGCGCCAGGGCCATCCACCACCAGGCCCCTCGATCCTTGAACTGCTCGGGAGTCGAGGACAGCGCGACCGTCCACCGTCTCCTCCCCCTCCCCTTGACGTTCATCGACGGCAGCCCCTCCAGCCCGAACCTCCTCCTCGTCTTCACCCAGAACGCTCTCACCTCCTCCTCGCTCAGCGCCGTCTGCCAGACAGCAGCCAACGCGACAAAGCCTGGGCCCTGACTTGCAGCTCCGAGCAGAGAAACTTGAGACAAGGCCATCGAGACCTTGACGACCCCCACGAGCTCCCCGTTGACAAAGAAGCTGCTGCTCGACTGCGACCCGTCGACCCTCCCCACCACCATCACCAGCTGCCATCCCACCACTGAGATGTTGTAGCCGCAGGGAAGAAACTTCTCCTCGCCGCTCTCGTCCACCACCAGCATCCCCAGCTGCCTCGACCCTCTCTCCACCGCAACAGGAGCCCCACCCTGCAGCGTGAACCACAGGCTCCGTGCTGGACTATCCGCTGCTCGCCACTCCAACCAGGCAGCGAGAGTGTAGCTATGCAGGAGAGGGAAGCCGATCCTGTCGTGAACGAGCAGCTCCAGGTGACCGCGATGGAGGTCGAGGACGCGGATGGCACCGAGAGGGTGAGTGATGAACCTGAAGCACCTCAGTCGAGTCACGACCAGACGAGCGATGTCTACCTGGTAGCTCCCCTCCTCCTCAGCGAGAGCCGGCTCTCAGTGCCCTGATTCACAAGCTCGTTGGCGAACTGCACGGAAGCATCGAAGAGCATGTCCGGCTGAGGAGGCCGCCCATCATGCACCTCAACCCCCTCAGAGCTGGACGAGTCCTGAGCTGCGTTATGCTCGTCCCCCTGGCACGCCTCCTCCCCTTCTGGCCTCCGAACCCTCCGAGGCAGGTCCACCTCCTGCCAGTTCCATCAATCTCCGCCGATACAGCCACAAGGGCAAACCTGCCCGTCGTCGATCCAACCGCAAGAGGGCGTCGTTGCTTTGACGGGACAAGAGGAGATTGGCTCGAAGTAGCAGGACAAGTCGCCAGTCGGGCACTTCTCGTGCTAAGAAGCATCAAGTCAAATGGAAAGGAGGGGGAGGAGGTTTGTTCTACGTACTTGAATCGCCGACCAGTTTGTTCCCACAACCAGAGGTCTTCCTGCCTGCAAAGATCGGCCCAACGCGATGGCGAGCGATCGTAAGTTGACGCCGAAGGCTGAAGAGACGGTCAGGTTGGCATGCGAGTCTTGAGAGTCACCTGACACTGAGTCTGCATGAAATGCTTGCGCTCCTCGCAGCGGGTCGTCGCATCGGCTCGCCTCAGCCGGGAATTGATTCTCCCTCACGGCCCCGGCAAACTTGTCCCACCCCTCACGGAAGTGCTGAGCTTGTACGCATGCCCAGACCGTAAGGACAGGATCAGCGGGCGGGAGGTAAGCTGCTGAGTCATGCAGGTCGTGGTCGCACAGCTCTCCGAACCAATCGGCCTCGCACACACACGCCCCGTCACGGCAGATCCCGCGGTCGCATGGAGGGCAGGTTGACTTGGTTGATTCTGCCGCAGGGTTGACACAAGGAAACAAATCGATTCCGGTGACGTTTGAACTGTACCTGCCTCATCGTCAGCCTCTCCTCTCGCAGCCTCCTGCTCACTCTCTCTCGTTGTCCTTCTTGAAGGTCACCGACGCTCCCGGCTGGTACGCCACGTCCCGCACGTCCAACACCGTGAGCGTCAGCTTGTACTCCCCGTCTGGCAGGCCGTTGGGGTACGGCACCAGACCGTCCACATACGCCAGGTGCACCATGTACAGCGTCGCTTCTAGTGGAGCAGGAAGTGCAGGCCCCTCCACCGTCTGCCGCACCTTCCACTCGCGCATGGGCCCCAGCCGCTCTTTCTCCTCCCCTTGCTCGCGCACCTCGACCTTCCAGAAGGGCCCGACGCCGCGATGGAAGGACATGCCGTCGGGGGGGAACAAGATGGAGATGGTGGGGTGGAAGAGGCGGTGTAAGGTGAGGGTGACACTCACCTGCTCCCTCGGCGCATCTTGGGATGCTCGAGCCAGCTCGAAGTACCAGGTCGTACTCCCTCTCGATCCTATGAGGATCGAAAACTCAAAGTTCTCCGTCTTCCAATCGGCCATGTCTGTCGTCTGAACAAGGCTGCCGCTCCTCACCACCATCATCGATGCCCATGGCTGATTCTCACAGTTGATGGTGAAGAGAAGAACGACCCCCTCGAGCTCGTCGTCATGGAGCTCATGCGGATTCTGCTGGGGATACACGAGGGAAAAGCATTGCTGGCAGGAGCACAAGGCGTGCCCGTACAGGAGAAACACAAACACAACCAGCTGAAGCTTTCCTCCGAGGTCCTCCTTACGCGCACAACACTTCCGACGGGAGGGGAACCGGATACAAGGGGAGGGCGAGGAACGTGAGGCCGATGTCGACAGAGAGTATGAAGTGGATGCTGTGGATCGGGTATCACATGAAGACGAGTTGTAGGAAGAGGAGAAGGAGGAGGAAGAGGAGGAAGAGAAGGAAGAGGAAGTGGAAGAGAAGGAGAACGGTTCCACCATTAAACCATGGTCGCAACAGCTCTGGGGCGGGTCGGATGCAAGGGATGGAACAGAGGAAGGGGTGGGGTGGACCTGGGGACCTGTACGGGTGGGGTGGGGTAGGAAGATGAGTGAAAACTAGATCATGAAAGGGCATGGCGATGCTGAGAGCGAGGAAAGGGGAGAGAGGGAGAGAGGGAGAGAGGAAGGAGAGAGAGGGAGAGAGGGAGAGAGGGAGAGAGGGAGAGAGGGAGAGAGGAAGGGGAGAGACAGACAGAGACAGACAGAGACATAGGGAGACAGAGACAGAGAGAGAGAGACAGAAGGTGGGACAGGGAAACACGCTTTTCTCAAAGGAACAAATCCTGACATTCTCTGATGTTGTAACTCTCTTCTTTTCAGCCTGTCGTATGTTCTGAGGGTCGCATACAAATTGGATCATGCAGCTTGATAGCAGATCTCAGCGACTGTTTCTCCGAGCTGGCTTCCTCTTCTTTGCGTCTTTCCTGGCACTTGTTGTTATGACGCACATGTCTGCTAAACCCACTGAGTTGACCTACTGGGAGGATCAGACGGGGTGAGGGGCGACGCTTTCTTAACTTGCCCTCTCTTCTTACATCGACTGCAGGCTCCCAAGTCGACAACAGAGATGGTTTCAGTGGCAGGCAATGCAGGATGCTGGTCCTCCGATCGGGGAGCATGGGATGTGGTGGGACGGGGTGGATAGAATGCACATGTTTGAAGGGGATCTCCCGGTACTTGACCCTGAAGACCCTCACTACGGTGAGACTTCGCCCATCCCAAGGTCTTGCTTGCGTCACGTTCGTCATGCACATACTGAGAAAGAAGCAGGTTCGCTCGAAGGCGTGCGGCAATGGTGTACAGGAAGAGGATGGTGTGATGCGACGTCGCAGTCAAACTTTTCGTTGGATGTCATCTCCCTTCAGCGTGTGAGATTAATTGCCACTCTTGTAAAGAACATCGATGTATCCTTGGAGAATCCCCATGGCTTTGTCCAGCAGTCTCTTCCTCTCTATCCTGTACTGCGGCTACAAGTCAAGAGTCAACCCTGCAGCCTCGCATGTCTCACATGGACTGCTGAAACTTTTCTCGGGTCGAGGGAGGAAGGATCTCTCGTGTAGTCCGTCACCAGGCTGAGATCTTCCTCGAGGGTCGTCGACATGACCCTGGTCGCCTCCTCGTCATCCACCATCTCCATCAGAGCATGTGCCTCACCTTCGCTGCTCTGTCACATAGTCCAGCAGTTTCTGAGACTCAAACTTCACTCTCGTAGTGACTTGAATCGCACTTCACCTGAGCTTTCTCAACTTCCGCGTTGCCGTCAACTCCATCCTCCGGCATTTCGATGGTGAGGGGAAAGGACATGAGGGCCTGGAAATAAAGTTGGCTACGCCTGTCACAAACAAGCCCCCTTTACCGAGTTCAGTCGCGGATCAGACGACAGGATCTAACAAGCATGGTGAGCATCCAATGGGAGGGTGAGAAAGAGCGAGAAAGGTTACCTGCTCTCCGTCGGGCTGATCAAGTCCCAGGGCTTGCTCCAGAAGAGGCGCCATCAGTTCATCTGCCTGAGGAGAGCTGAATCTAAGTACAAAGCATGCGAATGACCTTCAGTGAGTCAGGAAACTCGATGTTGTCATTGTAGTTGCCGCCCTGAGGAACAAACCTTTGAAAGCTTGAGCATGCAACAACGTCGCAATATTGTCGTAAGTTACCCGTATAACGCTTGGTAGATCCGATTGCACATTTCAGCTCGGTAGGAAATCAAAACCTCTCTTCCTTCCTGTGACGTATCCTCAGACAGTGCGTGTTGAAACAAGCACAACGTACAGGGATATCTGTTAGCGCATGGAGCACGAAGTAATTGTTTGCTCGATCACAAAAGAAGTCGGCGTTGGGATCACCTGCGATATGTTATCTTTCAAACCGGGGCAGAGACGGAACAAGCTTGTACACCATGATTGGTCATGTCCAAGAAAGGTACAAAAGCAAACTCGTCATCCTTGTACAGAAAGTGAATGTGCCGTTGGAAATAGCAGTCACAAAGAAACCTCCTCATCAGTGCTTGTAGCATTCTGCTGCAGAAAGTTACAGACTTCAGAAAAAGATTAATAAGAGTAAACACCTTTTTACTAGTCACGGTGAAGGCACGACTTCGTACGCAGGCAAACGCCCATTGTAAGTTTGATGGATAATCGCTGTCTGCAATTGAGGCATGAAACCATCAAGACAGCTCCACAAATGACACGTGTGACAAACCTGCGCTGTCTGCCGCTGGCATCAGGTCAGGGAAAAGCATACGCAACCTCCGCTGCTGCATGAGGCCGCCAGTGGCAAGCTCCGAGTGCTTTCAAGGTCTCATCGCACTTAGTGAGCAACAAGTCTGCGGGCACCTGAAACTCGGAGAGCATGGAAGGCGACAAGCAGAGGGGCTGACTCACAGTCAGAACGGCGAGTGAGACGAGGAAGGGAGCCACCTGGGAGAGGGTGTCTGGTCTTGGAAGCAAGTCCTGGTATTTCATCCAAAATATCTCCTGCACTCTGACCTCACCGAATGAAAGACAAGGAGGAAAGAAGCGGATCACTGATTCGTCGTCGGAATCAAGCTTTCCTGTCTTCTTCAACAGTTTGATTGCCATTCTGACGTCCCAAGTCAACGCCTCTGGGTCCTGAGGCGACTAAGATCAATGGTGGAAGAGGTGGACCAGCAGGACCTCGACATCTGTGGTCGCACGTGAAAGGATCTTGGACTTTTCTTCATCGCTTGCATGCCTCGCTGTCGGCAGTTCAAATCCAACGAGCGGCGAGAGGAGCAACTCACCTTCGCGGATGCAAGCTTCCAGCGGGATCCTGAGCAACGTGTCGCCCTTGCGCTGCGAAGTGTTTGTGAACAATCCCCGTCCGCGTTCGCCATTTCGAAGACGAAGACTTGAAGTTGAGTGTGACATGTCCAACAACTCTTGAAACAATCGCTCGTGATCGGTAGCCTCCGATCCCCCCCGGATGGGGTTTGGGCATGGCAGTCGAATCCTTTCAATCAAAGGTAGTCGAAAAGAAATTTGAGCAGACTGAAAGGACGAGAGTGACGCCATAAGGACACATCCAAGCAACGAATGTCTGCCTTGCACCATGAGGACCTTGAGTCAAGTACCAGTCTCCTGCAGGCCACATCAAAACAGCATTTTCCCTCCATGATCTCATTTTCCCTCCCTCCCTCTCTGCTTCCCTCTCCCTCTCCCTCTCTCCCTATCCTCCTGGCCCTTCTCTTCATAGTCACTTCTAGCTTCACCTGCCTCGTCCTACGCCTTCCCTCTCCATTGCTCGCCATCCCCCTGGCGTCGCATATCGCGTACAACGAGCTCGCCAGAGAGGTTTTGTGTGGGGCAGCAATCAAGTACTAGAGCAAATACTCCAACTGCGTGGGCAGCTCCCGTTATGTGTTTGTTTTATTGGTGAAAATTCCTGTTTCTCTCCAGTACCAGCCAGCAAGTCCAACATAGGAAGCTTCATTATTAATTTATATATGAAGTAATAAATAAAAATATTTAAAAATATGGTACAAAATCTCCTACTTGTAAGTACCAATGGTACTGTGAATTCTTTGGTAGGGCCCGCCGTCTAATAAAGTCAGAGAATGGTGGATAGAAGAGGATGGAAATGTTTGGCGCGAGAGGAGGAACACGATGGGGGGAGGAGATGATGAGAGAAAGGGAAGGAGCAAAGCGACTGGCTAGCTGCTTGCAGCAGTGGGGGTGACATGTTGTGTTGTCTGATGTGCCCGAGAGGCGGCCAAGCGGCTGAGTCTGAATGTCACACTGCTAGATGACGAGGGAAGAAGGAATGGTTCCCAACATTCGCTTGAAGATGCACGAGAGAACATGAAGCTCTCCTAGCCGTGCCATAAGGTGTCGCATCCGTCTCCTCGCCGATGAAGCTAAGGTTGTGTTCAACCAGAGCATTCGGAGGACGGCACCCCATGCCTCAGGTAGACTTTGGCCTTGAGCTCCTGGAGGCTGCCGGTCAAGGAAGGCAAGTGATGTGATGCATTGAAAGATGGCTGACTTGCGCGCTCAGCGAAGAGAAAGTCAGAGAGGTCTTGAATCAGTACCCCCACCTTCTGATGTACTCCGATCCATACGGTCACACCGCCGCTCACATCGCAGCCTTCTACGGGCACCTGTGCTCTGACTTTGAATGTGTGCTACGTGTCTTAACCTAGAGGTTCAACAGAGACATTCTATCTTACCTCTCGAGTTTGAACAATGAGTGTCTCTTCTCCGAATCTTTCGATCTCTTCACTCCAGCACACAGCGCAGCAGCAAACGGGTGATCGGAACTGAACCATGAGAAGCTTTTACTGACTAACCTCTTGGCCAGACAACGAGAAATCCTCGAATTCTTATCAAAGAAGAGCCTTTCACACGTTGTTTCACTGCTTCTGTTGACTCGGTCTTGAATGTTGAATGTCACTTCAGTTGTTTGCAAAAGATTGCGATGGATGGACGGTGGCCCATATTGCTGCGTTTTACGGACATGAGAATGTGCTTCGATTCATGGCAGAGGTGATCGCGTTTGAGTCAACGCCTCAAGTTCTCACACTTGTTGTCGTCTTGAAATAGGTCGCTCCGTCAGTGTTCGGTATCAATGCAGAGCTGCTCAGAATGATTGCGAGGACTGCGAGCTGTAAGGTCTACACTCTTCCGTCTTTGAGATCTGCAAGTTGTTCACCTCGAGTGCAGAACGAAATAGAAAAAGTTCAGAAGTTGGATTTCCAGTATTACAAGCCTCACCAGGTGCTAGAGCAACTTGAATGTCTTGCTTCAATCAAGTCAGACCCCGATCAGGAGTCGTTGGGAGAAGGCATCGTCATATCCACAAGCTCCTCCATCCTGAGCTCGGAATCCGTTGACAGTCATCATCTACTGAAGGGGGTGGGGCCAACACGGGCGGCTGGCGTTGACGTCTGAAGCTTTGTTTGAATGCAGCGAAAGATTCCCTTTGGAGGAGCAGCGAATCGGGATGAAGATGAAAGCTCGACCTCGAGCATGGACGCAAGAAAGTGTCACAAGCAGTCGCTGACCAACGGAAAGAAGAACCACTCTCCCCCTCATGAGAGGAAGTTAACCAGGTCCCCAAGCTGGGTTCAAGATGTCACAACGAGAGAGCAGCAGAGCAGCTGGAAGACTCTTCTAGGAGGTGTTCGCTGCAGCCCTCTCCGTCCTCTAGACGTGACCGCAAGACAGGGCTGAGGAAGGGAAGCGACATCACTTCCATGCTGATACCGGCCGAGTTCCTGAGGTTGTCGAAAGCCCCCTCACCCTTCACTCATCTTCCACCTCCAGGCCCGAGTCAACGCTAGAGAGGATCCAAGACGTCATGCAGCACGGCAGGTCTGCCCCCTCCTGCTCACAGCTCTTGAAGGTGATCGTGACAGCAGGCACCTGGAGAGCATCGTGCTTCCCAACTCGTCTGCTCTAGATCGCATCAAGTCTGTCGTCCGCTTTCATGTTGCTCAAGCCGGCAAAGTTCTCCTGCTCACGCATGGGACTGGGCAGGTGTCGGGAGTGATCCGAGCGATCTTCGATGGCAAGAAGCCCTACAACCCCATCCTAGGCGAGACCTGCGTCTGGGCGTACAAGCATGGAGACTCGTCCTGCGTGACCAAGGTGGTTTGCGAGCAGGTGGCATGAAGCATACTCGCATTGCAAGTGCAGGTGAACCTCCCTTGCTAGGTTTCCCACCACCCGCCCATCTCAGCTTTCTTCCTCAACAACGAGCGACTGGGCATCAACATCACTGTATCACTGCTGTCCACTCGAATGCCCTCCCCTCATGCCCCTCTCCTTCAGGCCTCTGCGGAAATTAACCCGACATTCACTGGAAATTGCGTGCTGGTTCCATTCAAGGGCAAGCGAGTCTTGAAGATCATGCACTTGTATTCTTATCCCACACGAGAGCCGTGCTTGATCCTGACAATTTGAGACAGAAACGAAGAGTACACGATGACAGTCCCCAGTCTGCAGGTAGTCGATCTTCTCGTCGCTAGCCTTGTGACATGGCTCAGTATCGCGGGCTCTTCGTGGGCTCCAGAGGAGCTGAATGGGTTGGGAAAGTTGTGGTGAAGTGCGAGCAGACGGGACTGTCGGCGAAGCTTAACTTCAAGCCGCTTGGCTGGCTTGGCATGTGGGGGTCCTGGCACAGAGTGGAGGTGAGGGCTGTTGCGGCTGAAGTCTCGCGCTCAAGTTGGTGCAGGGCAAGGTGAAGAGTAAGGTGAAGGGCGTCAAGAAGCTGATCGGGAGCATCTACGGCCACTGGGATACGCAGCTGATTTATAGAGACGAGGAGAGCAAGGAAGAGGAGGTTATGTACGACTTCGACCAGAGCGCGAAATTTTTCGGAGTTGAGCAAGTGAAGATGAAGAAAGCGAGCCTGCCGACAGACTCGCTCGTCGTTTGGTCAAGACTGTCTGCTGCCTTGACACGGCGAGATATGAAGGACGCCAACAGAATCAAGAACGAGATCGAGGAAGAACAGAGACGAATCCGTAAGGAGCGAGCAAAGAGAAACCAAGCATACCAGCCCAGATTTTTCAGGTGAGCAGCGACATGCTGGGTGTATGAAACAAGACTGTCACATCTGACTTGTTCCTCGCTAGGTTCAAGGAGGGAAGGTGGGTCCCAAGGGATGAGATGTACCAATTTCAAGCGACGTGTATGGTAGGAACAGACGTGTAGTGCAAGGATTGAAACAATAGCATACGATTGAAATGATTTGAAACAGTAGCATACAATAGAGATGGTCTGCGCTATCAGACTTCATCTGAGTTGATCTGGTCTTGCACTAACAGCAAATTCTTTCGCGACGCCAGCGTGCGAGGATGCTCCTCTCCGAGACACTTGAGACGGATGTCGTAGGCGCGCTGATACAGTTGCCTTCTCCTCCTCATCAGCCCCCGCCCCCTCGTCTCTCCATCAGCACCTGCTCAGTTGCTTCTCTCCGCAGTGAAACGCCAACGTAGCGAGGGAGTTGAGGTCCGTCGCCACCTGCGGGCTCTCTGCTCCGAAGAACTGTTTCCGGTCAGCCTCGCCTCCCCCTCCTCCCTTCCACCTCCTCGTCGATCTTCAGCGCCTGCTGCACCAGCTCCGAAGCCTCCGCATAGTTTCCCCTGCTCGATGTGAGCAGGAGCGGAGGCTAGTCAAGGCACCTCTTGGCCTCCAGGATTGCCATGTTGTTCATGTGCACCGCCACCTTGACCCGCGTCAGCTGCCGTCGAGCTCCCACGTCATCACCTTGGGATGCTCAAGGCCGAGAGTCTCCTGCAGCATATCCAGCGCTTCCTTTCGCAGCTTGAAGGCCTGCCATGCAGTGAGAGGCCGAACGGGAGGCGCCTCCTCTACCTCGTCGCGGTCGTTGAAGCCTTCCTCCCAGATCCCCGCGAGGTGATTGAGAGAGGTCGCGATGGACGGGTGAGCTTGACCGTAGACTTGCCGTTTGATGCTGCGAGCTCAGGCTCAGCTCCGCTAGAGGACGGGGTGAGGGACCTCAGGCTCCGTTGAAACAGCAGGAGGGCTCGCTGGTACTCCTTCTTGGCCGCCAGCACCTGCCGTTCTTGAGGCCAAGGCAGCTGCCAGCCCCTCTACTCACACGTGCCAAGTTGGAGAGAGCAGAGGCGAGGTAGGGGCTGGTGCTGATGACGTGTGAGCAGCAGAGGAGACGGTGAGCAAAGAAACCTCCCAAGCGCTCTCTCCCAGATCTCTATCGCCTCCTCCATGTGCTCCTGGGCCTCCTGTAGTTCGCCTGGAGGTGGTCACTCCGATTTGATCCCTTTCTCCTCTTCACCTTTGGCTAGGAAAGCCTCGCCGACACTCATCAGAGCTGATGCAGTCTGAGGTGAAGAGAAGCGACAAGGAAACGACGAGAATGAGAGAAGAGGAGATGGAGAAAGGAGGGAGAGAGGAGGTGAGCATACATAAAATCAGCTGATGTTCTACCTGATAATGATCGTTCGGCAAAGAATTCCTGCAAATCTCTAGAGCTTTCTGTCGCAGTTGATATCCCATCGAAGAATTTCCCATCTCCTTTCACCACCATCACTGCAGCCATTCCGAGAAGCGAACGAGAATACAATCATGCAAGAGCCGAGGTTGAGATAGGAAGCGACGACTTCACTGTCTTGGCTATCTGAGCTCGTCAAGTCAAATAACTTCCGCACATCGCTCGATCTTCCTTGAAGCTTCTCGCGGATCTCCAAGGCTTTTCTTAGATGCTTCTCTGCTTCCTTGTACTTCCCCTGTGCCTGTTGTCCCTCTCAGTCTCTCCTCCACCCCCCCGGCTTCCCCCGTCATCACCTGCAGGCTCACTCCCAGCTCGTCGAGAGCCTGTGCGGCTGCTCGACTCTCTTGTCCCACAGCGAGGACGACGCTGAGGTCTCATCAGTCGCTGATTCTCATGCTCGCTCCCTCACATGTCAAGCACCGCTTGCTTCTCCACCACAGCCTCATCGATGTCTCCAAGCGCCTGCAGCAGCAAACTTGACAGACGCCTCCTCCTCCTCATCGTCTCCTCCTTCTCTGCTTCTCACCAACAGCGTCGAGCCGTATTCTCCTCGCACAAGCGCGGCCAGCAGCGGCTGGTCGGGAGGAAGGAGGTTGATGGCTCTCTGTCCCTCACATCAGCCAGCAAGGCGCATCCGGGCGCACAGGGACCAGGGAGAGAAGCTTCGCCTCGTACACCTCTCCTTTCTGCCTCGCCACCGACGCCAGCACCGAGACCTCCACGCACAGCTGGGGGCTGAGAGTGAGAGGGAGCGACACGTCAGCTCCCAGCTACCTCCGAGCTGTTCGACGCATGCTCGTCCATCAGTCTCACAACTTCACTCTAACTCCAGCTCAGCCCCAGCTGCCTCACCCCAACGTCTTACCTGCGTCTCCCATGCCTTCAAGTAGTTTCCTTGTCGCATCTGATTGCTGACGTCATGGACTCGCCTCGCTCGCTCTCTCGTACATGCAGTTGGCTCCTCGCGCTCGCGAGTTTGGCTCGCAGAAGCTCACTGCTTCTCTCTTCCTTTACCGACTTCACCTCCTCCTCTGCCAGCCTCAAAACCTCTGACGCTTCCGCTGAGAGGCCGAGACCAACGCCCAGGACCCGTGCGACCGCAACGAAGCCGTCAATGCGAACAAGCACAGGCAGCTGTAAGAGGATGAGAGAAAGGTTGGTGCGGGTTAAAGCGAAGAGAGGAAAAAGAAGAGGAAGAGATGCGGGAGAGAGAGAAAGAGACTACCTGGGAGGACTTGGCGAAAGAGATGACGTCATCTACATTGATAGGCTGATCTACTCCTTCAAGTGACTTGCACATTTCAATGAGATATTCGTCGTTCATTTGCTGCGAGAAGAAAGAATCCAAGAGCAAGCTGCAGCATCACATCACAACTGACACTTCAGCTTCTGTCACTTACGACTTCGCGTCTTCAACTTCTCCCGCAGCTATCAGCTCGCGGACCTTTAGGACCTTCACTGGCATGTGAGATGAGTGTGCTCAAGTGACAAGCAGCTCGACCATCCCGCTTGAGTCGTTCTGCTCCCCCTGCCGCCTTGTCACCTTCAACTGGATGCGCTTCTCTGTTGCTCACCAGCGCTGACAACTTGCCAACATCAGCAAGCGAGCGAAGGACCGCGAAGGCATCGTCCTGCTGAGAGCGAAGCGCCAAACTGGGAGAACCTGACTTCATGACAAAGGGCAAAGCAGAGAGATAGATAGAGACTGGTAGAAAGATAGATGGAGACTGGTAGAAAGATAGATGGAGACTGGTAGAAAGATAGATGGAGACTGGTAGAAAGATAGATGGAGACTGGTAGAAAGATAGATGGAGACTGGTAGAAAGATAGATGGAGACTGGTAGAAAGATAGATGGAGACTGGTAGAAAGATAGATGGAGACTGGTAGAAAGATAGATGGAGACTGGTAGAAAGATAGATGGAGACTGGTAGAAAGATAGATGGAGACTGGTAGAAAGATAGATGGAGACTGGTAGAAAGATAGATAGAGACTGGTAGAAAGATAGATGGAGACTGGTATAAAGATAGGACAACCTCGACGCCCGTCGCCTTTGCCGACATGAAATCAAACGCGACTCCGGTGATGACCATCTGACAGGAGAGCAAGGGAAGGGACATCACTACATCAGCTCAGACAAGCCAAAGAGAAACCTTGACGACATCCTGCCATGAGATGGCGGGAGACCTGCCGGCTCAGGTTGATTGGATCAGTCAAGTGAGCACAAAGAAAGTTACAGGGGGCAGTCAAGAAGCCTTTGACGAGTTGCAAGCAGAGCATGAGGAGGAGAAAGCGGCCTGAGGGAGTCAAAGTGTGAACTGATACTTTCACGATCGGTCAAACTCACGAAGCATGCTGTTGGAGAACTGAAGAAAGTGTCAGCTGCAGTAGTGATGTCACAGCAGAGAAGAGGGACACAAGGAAAATCAGACAATAAAAGAAGTCCCCAATTCACTTCATTTGATCTCGTCCATAACACGCTGCAGCATCATCACCATATTCTCATTCTTGTACCTCATACTTGTACGTCATACTTGTATCTCATACTTGTACGTCATACTTGTACCTCATACTTGTATCTCATACTTGTACGTCATACTTGTAGCTCATACTTGTAGCTCATACTTGTAGCTCATACTTGTATCTCATACTTGTACCTCATACTTGTACCTCATACTTGTACCTCATACTTGTAGCTCATACTTGTAGCTCATACTTGTACCTCATACTTGTATCTCATACTTGTATCTCATTCATACTTGTTCGCAAACTTCTTGTCTCCTACCGTGCCTCTATGTTTGTCCCGTCATCCCGATCAAAGGTTTTCATTTTTAAAATGAAGTGCACCAGTTTTAATAATCTACAGCGCGACCGATTCACTCGCATCGCTTGTTTCGGAACTCCACGTATCGCTTGTGCCCGTCAGCCGTCTTGAGGGTCATGAAGCGATCGAGAACGAGCTGCCAACAAGATCAGACGCTGATGGTGGTGAAGGAGGAGGAGGAGGAGTGAGAGAAGAAGAATGCTCATGAGAAGGCATAGCATTTGCTTCAGTCGAACTTTACCTGGAGTTCGCATATGTGGTTTGAGAGGCCTAGCGCTCTCGTCCTGGGGCTCGTAAGTTTCATGTTGAGTGCCACGTCCCTGCCAGCCACGATCCGTAAGGTCGCAAAGACAAAAGAGGAGACAAGATAAGGAAGAGGAGGAGGAGCAGAAGAGGTAGAGGAGAGGACGCGAGCGAGGGAGCAAGTAGGAAGCACCTGTAGCCTGCGGACAGCTTGGAGTTGTAGAGAGGGTCAAGTCTGTTTTTGATCCTGACTACTTCAATCTCTGGGTCATCGCAGATCCTCTCAATGCACAAGCGCAGGTCGCTGATGTCCTCGAAGATGATGCACTGACGCACGACGTCTACGAGCTTGGATACGTCCCCCAGGTAACTCCGCGAAAGCTTCTCGATGGCTCGGTCGACGCTCTTGAGCCCGGCCCACTTGATCCTCAGGTTGCTCCCGTTCCCCCACCTCATCTCGTCCCACCTCACAAAGCAGTCCATTGCGTTCACCAGCGGGAAGCAGCCCCGGCAGGCCCCCGCAAACTCCTGCACCTTCATGGTGAAGTAAGGCTCCAGCAGCGCTGCCTGCACGTAGAGCTGGTCGAGGGACGTGACGTAGCTGGACACCAGCTTGACGCGGCAGAGCAGAGGATTGGGATGCACGCCCTCGTATGTCTCGAGGAACTTACAGTGTTGGGCCTCAGAGTCGGCGAGGAGAGCAGAGGACGCAGCAAAGGCTTGCCGCACCAACTTGTTCTTCGTGTCCTGTCGCGCGACCACCTTGGCAAGCTTGTCGATCTCCATCTTGTTCTCCTCCCTCGCCCTCAGCTCCTCCCACGCTCTGTCGTACTTTTGCTTGTCCGGGGCGATCGCATGCCAGGACTTGAAGAGGACGTACTGCCGAAGGCTGATCAAGACGACCCAGAAGCCCATCATGATAGTGGCGCTAATGGGAACCCACGAGGTCGCGTGGGAGGGCGTGATGATGACAAGGTTGTAGAGGATGAGACCGCTGATGTTGAAGCCCCAGTTGAAGGGAATGAAGGAAATGAAGCGCTTGCCTTCGAACTGCACGATGTAGCCGAAGATGAGGGAGGTCAGTCCGATGACCCACCAGTAGAAGCTGTCCTGAGCATGCTCCGACCTCGCCAAGGCTCCAGCTGTGATGAGCTCCATCAACCCGGGGGCCCAGAAGCAGAAGGAGAAGGCTGCTGTCGGCGCCATCGTCTTCCCCTGCTGCGTCAGCACCGGCACGGCGAGGCAGCCGATGAAGATGGGAATGTAGACAACACAAGTGCCGAGGATGGAGAACCAGGGCGGGCGTATATCGATCACCAGCTTCTTTCCTGCCTCCACGTGCCCGACAGGGACAGCCATGCAGGCCGTGTAGTCGATGCCCCAGCGGCAGGGAGCGGCGGAGAGGGCGAAGGTCTGGTTGCTACTAGACGAGTAGGAGATGGAGAACTCAAGTTTCGTGACCTCTGACGAGGATGCTGGCCGAGTGCTCAGAGTGTAACCGTTTGCCGTTACATCATCAGTGTAGTCGATGCGAATCGTCTTAGTGCCAAGCTGGGTGACGGTCTCAGCTGGGACCCTGCAGCCATCGCGCGTGAGCGCAAAGTCAGCAACGAGGCTGAGGGGAGGGGCCGGAGGGTCCGCGAACTCAAGCGACACCGAGCGAGCTGAGAACTTGTTGGTGCCCAGAGCCTGCTGGAGGCTTCCGTGGGGGTTGAAGAAGTAGTAGAGGAAGTAGATGCCGGCGAGCCCGATGATGCTTCTGATCCAGGGCTTGTGGATGGAGAGAAAGACAGGATTGTCCGTGAAGAGCACGCTCGCCGTGTCAGCGTTCTTGACCGCCAGACGAAACTCCGACAGTCGCGACATAAGCAGGTCGCCGGGGAAGCAGCTCCTCTGCTGCATAATCGCCGCAAGGCGTTCCTGTGTGGTCAGCGAAGCCTCTTGTCGCTCCCTCAGGCCCTCCTGCCCGGCCACTCGCAAGTTCGCCTCGTTGCCCTGCGTCATCACCTGAACCTCTTGCAGCTCGTCGTCTCCTCTCCTCCTCCTCCTCCTCCACGGCGCTGAGACCACCCAGCCCCGCACGTGGGTCCATGCCTGCTGCAGGAGATGCAGCACTTCGGTGTAGCGCTGGAAGTGTGTGATGCGGCGGAATTGGATGTAACGCTTGTGCTGCTCGTCGTTGGTGAGGTCCAGGAAGCTCCTGAGAGCAAGCTGCAGCTCACACACGTGCCCCGTCAGGTTTCGCTGCCTCGTCTCTGCGTTTTTAATTCGCACGTTGACGCAGACATCCCGGTAACCCGCAGACAGCCAGGTGTTGTACTGCAAGTCCAGCCGGTTCTTGACCCTCACCACCTCTAGGCTCGCATCCTCCTCCAGCGCCACGAGGGCGGCGAGCAGGTCGTTGAGATTGTCGAAGGCGATTCGTTCCCTCACGATGTCAACCAGCCGACTCACGTCAGAATCGTAGGAGCGCGTCAGCTTCTCGATCGCCTTGCTCACGTACTTGAGCTCTGCCCACTGCACCCACCCGTGAACCTCCGGCAGCTCGCTCACCTCCTCCCAGAGCATGTACCCCCTTCCTCCTGCCCAGCCATGGCACAAGGCCTGCGGGGTCCCGGGCTTGCACAGGAAGTAGCCTCGGCTTCTCAGGGCCACCTGCTTCACCTGGCTGCGGAAGATCTCTTCGATAGAAACAGCCTGCGCGTACAGCTGATCGAGACACGTGACGCGCTGGCTGGAGACGTTGAACTTGGCGATCAACGAGGAGAACATGGGGCTGTTTCGCTCCCAGAGGTGGAGGCGGCGCGATGACACCAACCCAGTCGGACCGTCAAGAAGATCTCTGGTGGATCGCACGCGGAAAGACGGAGCTGGCAATTCAGTTCGAGCAGTGGGGAAGCTAAACCTGGAGGCAAGGCTCGCTGCTGCTCCTTCACTTCCCATGTTCACACCTTCCACGCACGCCATCGTCGACGTCATCATAGTTTGCTGTCTGGGAGTCAGAGTTGAGCTGTCGCTCTTGACCATCGCCCGCGCCACCTTGTTGACCTTGTCGAGCACAAGCAACGTCTCTCCCTGCTCCAGCAACTCCCTCCACTCGCTCTCAAAGAGCTTCACGTCCCCGGATATGATCCTCCTGCCGTTCCATCGAATGCGCTCCCTAAGGACCACAAGGAACAAGACGGTGGCGAGGATGACGATGGAGATGACAGGCCAGTCCTCTGACTTGGCGAGAGTGAAACCCGAGACTATGAGAATCATGCTAGAGCAGATGGTCTGCTCGAAGACAAGCGCCTCGCTGACGATGAGCGGCACTGGAAAGATCGTGATGCCCTGCAGGCGGGTCATAGACGGAAGACCAACAGCCACCTCGCTCTCACCACCAACGCCTCGATGAGGAGACTGACGGGGTTGCCATAGACAGAGAGCTTGTAATCGTGGCCATTTGCCATGAGGACGGCGCTCGAGCACAACGACAACAGGTAGAGGAAGGTGAAGCCAAAGGAGATGATCTGCTGATGCGTCAGCCCGGCAGCGAGCTGGAGAAATCTCACCTTCACGGGGATGCTGTACTTCTCGAGGAACGCAACAACAGCTGCTGCCAGCATGATGAGGCCGGAGATCGCCCTGGCAACGATGTAGGCGTATTCCGGCCATAGGCAATCGAAATCGATGAAATTGAAGGGAACCGCGACGTTTCTGGCAGCAGGTAGATGGAACTCAGGGACGTCGGAGAGGACTTGCTGCCTGGAGGAGAGTATTTCTCCTCGATGATTTCCGCACTGTTTGGAGAGCGTGATCAGTCGCCAATTAACGCCGTCGTGTGATCCCTCTAGCGCGAACTTCACGGGGTCTTGATCTACAGGCCCTTTCCCGGTGGTCAGGAACCAGCCATCAAAGGACGTCGGAGAAGGAAAGAAGAGGATTTCAGAGCTGCCGTCAGCAGCAGACGCGTTGGTATGGAGTAGAGGGCAGCCTCCTCGCATGATGCCGAAAGAAGAGATCCCAGCGCTTGTGATCGCCTTCCCCGTTGCACCGTTGCGAAGTTGTAACGCTTGAAAGCGCACGAGAGAGAAGCTTTGCATCTCCAGCTCTTGGACTTGAGACCAGGGAGCAAACAAGATCGCATTGGGCGGTCGAAGCAGGAAGAGCAGACCGACGACGAAGAGAACCATCTGCATCCATCTCAAAGTCACCGCTGATGAAAACGGGCGCCTCGAACAGAAGACCCTCCACGATTCATTCCTAAAGATGTTGTTCCTAGCAAAGATGAGCTTGTCTTGCAGACTGTTGCCATTCTTTGAAGCCACAGATGAGAGATAATCCAGCAGCTCCTTGTTCTTGGCTTCCTCTTCTGCTACCCCGACATCCTCCGGCCTCGAAGAGTCCGACAAGTCATCGTAGACCTCCTGCCATTCAATGGATCCAGTCTCAGAATTCTTCTTCTTCCTCCGGTCAAGCGTCCTCCCTGCATACACCTCGCCGTGAAAGCATCGGGCGCCGAGGAGCTGAAGAACTTGCAGTAACCTGAAATCCTTCCGCGCGGAGTTGAAGATGTCAACTATCTTCAATCGAAAAGGGCCTTGACGTCTCCGTATGAGGCGGGATGAAAGTAGACGAGGGTAGCAATCCTCTTGGTTTTCATAGGCTACATGAAAGCTTTCGTCTGCTTCTGACCTGTTCTCAAGCGAGATGGCAGGATCGAAGAATATCTCGAAATCATGTTGCGACAAACTTCTATTCCAACCGGTCGACTTCAGATGCTTGTGACCCATCATTGATGGATTGTCCTTCTACAACTACAAAGGGTCATGTGCGGCTGGCACTCGCTTGACCTACCCCTTGGTTCACAACGGCAGGCCGTGTTGAAGCCCAAGGAAGTAACGTCATGGAGGCGATCCGAGACGGAACCCCTTCCATGGGATGAGAAGCTTGCTGCTTTTTGCCTCAAATCAATCGTCTGAGGATAATTCTTGCACTATGAGCAACAAGAAATCCGATTCGATGGCAGTGAGAAGGAAGTCGACAATGCAGAGAGAGAGGAAGATGACAACGTGAGGGGGGCTGGGCGGGAGGAGGAGGGAGAAGAAGTAGAGGAAGACGAGAAGGGGAGGATGAGGAGAGGAGGATGAAGAGAGAGAAGTCGAGAGAGCAGGAGGAGTGGGGCTCGCTCAGCACAAGGAGCAGGTCACAAGTGCCGCATTGACATGGCGACCCGGCGAGGCTGGCGATGTGGTGGGCTGACGGCCAAAGAGCGTACATGGCTAAAACATTTTATTTCAGGTACTGCGAGATATAATGCTATATGGATATTAAATTATAAAATACGATATCGTAGTACAAATATAAATATAAATGTTAAATTACACTGTGTAAAGTAAAAAAAAAAGGCAATCTCCCTGCCACCCCAGAAAATAAAGTTGAAAGGGGGGGTGATCAAATAATGTTGGTGAAAAATAAAAATTCCTCTAGAGTTAGATTACAGATCTGATACATTGGGTGGTGTGATACAGATACGTAACGAGGGACGATATTCATTTTAGCTCCAGCAATTCTCTTCCTAATATTTGATTAGGTTACTCAGTTTATCACAGCAGTATGTCTTCGCTCACTGCGCTGCTCCTGTGCTTGGCCTGGAGCTCCGCGGCTGTAGGAGGAGGGAGAGGCCGCGGAGAGACCTGCTTCTCCTTCGCTCCTGCCACGACGAGCTTGAACTGCTTCAGAACCATGCCGCCTCTCTGCCATCCTCGGAAGCATGCACTTGAGAGCTGGGATACGGAAACGCGCAAAGTAAGGTTGCAGCATCGCAATGGACCTGCCACGAATGTTCCAAGTCTGCGAATGGGATCCGATGGTGCACTCGAAAGAATCATCATAGACAAGGAGCGAGAAGTCATGGTGATATTTCCTGTTGCCCCAGCCGTAAAGAAAGAGTCAGTGAAGTTTCAGGTCTGTTTGCCTTTTTGTGTGGGGCCCTCGTTGTTGTGATGGTTTCTTCTGTTCTTAGATGGGCAGGAATTCAATATTTCTTTCAGTGGATGAATCGACGTGAGCGCATGAATCAAGATTGCTTTCCTGGACTAACTTGAAGTAGGCTTCTCGATGGTGACCTCTGGAACCAAGCCAACTTAGACCTGAGCTACTGGGAGTTTGACTCCTACCAGCAGCACGAGAGAGCGATCGTGCTGCATGTGGTGCCTGACCTCTATTGTGCTGTCGTCTTCATCTGACTGTGCGGCAGGCAAAGATCGGAAACATGGCCTGGCCGGTGCTGCTGGCTAAGGAGTACGACCCGAAGACCATGGTAGATCGGGTAGGATGCAAGTCCATCCTCCAGCTTCTCTCAAGCTCTTGATGTACAGAATGCAACGATGACACCTGAGAAGAGGAAGGCGACACCGGAGGAGCTCAAGCTCATTCGAGACGCTTACTGGCACCAAGTGAACTCTGGGAAGGTGGAAGTGGTGAATCGACGAGCAGAAGCGAAGCAAGTGAGGGAGAAGTTGAGAGAGCTTATGCGTCTCCGGCTTGAGGCAGGTCTTACCTTGCTCCTCCCTGCAAGTTGACGCGTGATCAGGTCCTTAACCGAACAGCCTCCCTTATCAACCGCCTCGTTGCCACGCCAGAGCTGGGAGTCATCAAACCTGATCTGTTTGAGAAAGTTCGCTCAAACAATCCAGAGCTCCAAAAGTTGGAGGGTGAAATCGTTCGTCTCAAGGCTGAGCTATGGAAGCTGCAGCCTCCTGGCCTCTGTGTTCTCATCCCCAATGCGGTGAACGAAGTTGGCGGAGGCTGGAGGGAGCTAGATGCGAGTGTGTTGTACCAGGTGAGCATGCAGGCCGACAAGTCTAGTCTCCTTGCTCGCTCATGCGCTGCTGATGTCAGCAAACGTTTCCTCCTATCCAAGAGTTTGTCCTTGCCGCAGACGAAGACATGCGCTTCTTCAACGACTCGGAAATGTCAAGGATTGAAACTGCCTTGGCTTCCACGGGCTCGGCTGGTTGTTGATGTGGTTGTGGCGTTGCTTGTGCTCACGTTCATGTCAGATGGGGCCAAAATCCGCAGAGTGGCAGCCAGGATCATGCGAGACTTCCAAGGAACCATTCTAGAAGGAGCGCAGGAGAGGCTGGCAGAGCTGCAGCCGGAGCTGGTGAAGGAGGGAGGGATGCTGTATCCTCCAAACAGAGCCCAAGCCTTCTGGGAGGTGAGAAAGGCGAGGAAGCGCCTGTTGAAAATGAGTCAAGCGTAGGAGCTCAAACATCTCTTGCGCCTTGCGCACTATGCGACGGCGATAGGAACACGCGAGTACACGAGGAGCCGGGTATGTGAAATGATGTAAGCGAGAGGGGATGAGGGCTTAGGTTGCACAGGATGTGACGGCGTTCAGAGAGATGCTGTCACAGATCGACATCCCGCGGGCTCTCGTCGTCGAGTCCCTTCAAGCCATGCAACTCCGCGCTGGCTACTTGTGCAGGTAGAGGTGCCGTCGCTCGCGTAAGACCTGAGGCATACAGCAGGTGCGCCAAGGAATCGCCAGAGAGCTGGGTGGCGTCCTTTTCCTCCTTGCAGCACTTGATAGATGGAATGAATCATACTGTGAGCTAAACCGCGTCCTGTCATCTCTTCTCTACATCTCGCTAGCTTAGTGGCTCTTTCATTTCCCGCGGCTGCGCAATGAACGAGACTCTTGGGTTACTACGCTCGTCACTAGTAGAGCCCGACAGCAGGTCCGCCTCATTGTCTGGTGTGTTTGACTTTTGACTAGCCTTGTCAAGGGCTGGACTCTCACACAGTGAGAGTACAGGAGGAGGAGGAGCAAGGGGAGGAGGAGGTAGGAGCACGGGGACTAGGGAGCAGGTCTAGTAGGAGAGGCAGGAGGAGAAAAGAGCAAGTGAACGAATGGCGACTGAGTCCGAGGCTGGAGGGGTCGAACATGCGCTACAAGGTCGGTAGAAGCTCTGACGGTTATGTCAGTTGCATGTGACAATCTTGATGGGAGAGACTCAAGGTTGGCTCGATGAGCAACTCAGGGCTCATGAGGATGGTGAGCAAGCGCCTGAGGTCTCAGACGACAACAGCCAGCCATCGGTCTCTAGCAGCAACGGAGGGATGGATAGGAAGGTGCTGCTTGCCGCTCGCGTTCGTCCCATGTCAGAGCGCGAGCTTGCGATCAAGGGTGAGAGGTGCGTGCGGGTGGATTGTGACAACGGTTACCTTGCGCTCATGGAGCCTGACACGCGGGAGGCGAAGGTGTTTGTGCTCGACTACGTGTACGACTCATCTGCTCCTCCTGGTCACCCTGACGCGCAACAAGGAGCCTCCTACGCCAGCAACCGCACTGTCTTCGCAGACCTCGGGAGGGTGTGCCTGCAGAACTTCTTGGAGGGATACAAGGTGTCGGTGTTCGTGTACGGACAGGAGGGAACCGGCAGGAGACACACCATGTTAGGGCATGAGGTTGACCCCGGCCTCCTCCCGCGTCTGCTGGAGGAGATTGTCGACCAGCCCGAGGTGACGCACTGAGGGGGAGCTGAGGAAGGAGCTCATGCGAGGCCAGGTGATGGAAGGGAAGTTGACGCTGCGGGGAAGTCTATACAAGATAGAGCAGGAGCAGGTGGTCGACCTGCTGAGCAGAGACCTCACCAAGAAGCTGCACGTGCGAAGCAACAGGGCAGGAACAGGAAGCGACGTTGTCGGGCTGACTTGGAAGCATCTTACAACCTCCGACGAGTGCGAGGAGTTTGTCAGGCTTGTGAGCGCTACTGCCCTCCCCCTCCTCTAGCTGAGTGACTGCCCTGGCAGACCCATCGCTCCTCGGAGCTTGACAGCAACGGAGCGACCTTGCTGTGCAGCTTTGAGCTGTGCTCGCGCATCTACCGCCCTCATCCGCATCCCAACAGGTGCGGGAGACTGCCAGGAACAAGAAGATAATATCACATGATGACGAGCAGGGCGCCAGTGGAAGATCTCAAGACCTTCAGCAAGCTTCACCTGGTAAGGCTCTCCCGCAAGTCCGGGACAGAAGAGAGCGCGATGATGAAGGCTCTGAGGGTACCTGCGCAAGCTGTAAGAGCATCGGCCATGCCATGTCGGAGGAGACTGACAAATCGCAGGTGTCGATCGACAAGTCTGTTCTTGTGAGCTTCAGCCCTGCGGGTTTCGTACTGACACAGTTGGAGTAGTCATGGAGTTCTGTCATGTCCGCCTTGGCCGAGAAGCAGCTGCTCATGGTAAACAAGCCCCCACCCTCTTCTTCCTTCACTCATGCGCCTCGCAAGTCGCAGGGACGCAAGGCGGAGAAGTCGATTTCCCACGTTCCTTTCCGCAGCTCGGTGCTCACGAGGGTGCTGGAGGACAGCATGGGGCACGAGTCTCGCATCTTCGTCATTGCCACAGTTTCTCCCAGCAGCTCGGTGGGTCAGTCGTGATGCCCTTCCAAGAGGCTGACGCAGGCGCAGGCGTACCGAGAGAGCATGCACACAGTAATGGAGCAGCGGGAGAGCGCGGGGAGCTGACGATGAGGCAGTTCAGGCATGTCGTGAGGTCAAAAGAAGTGAGGAGGATGAAGACAAAGGAGGAGCTCCTACAGGCTTACGCGCACATCCCTGTGTCGCTTCCCCCTTGCAAATCTCATTCGCTTGACCTCATGCCATGCAGGAATTCATTCCTTCCGCAGGAGGAGGATGGCGATGGGCGTACAGCACTCGCGTGACGGTCGACAAGGAACCATCAGAGATGTGAAGGGGCGGCAAGCAGACGCACTCGGGCGACTCGAGGGCCTGCGCCAGTAGAGTTGTACTCGCACAAGTCAAGAGAGTTGTACTCGCACAAGTCAAGAGAGTTGTACTCGCACAAGTCAAGAGAGTTTTACTCGCATAAGGTAGAAAGCGCCTCAAGCAGAAGAGAGTAGGAACAACTAAGACCTACACGCACACAACACAGCGAAAACACACAACAGGCACTTTCTACCTTCTGCGTGTAAAACTCTCAAACCTCACCAAGTGGGGAAAGGAAGCCAACCTCGACGCCCTCCATGCTGCAGTCGGAGAAGATTCGCAAACACCGCGCTGGATATGCCACTCCGAGTGCAGAGTAGGTGGAGCTGTGCTTGTTGCTGCTTTCTTCTGCTTTATGCACTTTTTACCTTCTGCGAGTAAACCTTCAACACTGGAGTTTATGCGGCCATAAGGTAAAAAGTGCCTCAAGTAGAAGAAAGCAGGAACCTTGTGCGAGTAAAACTCAGTCCTTTGGAACAAGTAAAACCCTCATGCACCTAACACAGCAACAAATGCAGGTTTAGCTTGTTCCTGCTTTCTTTTGCTTGAGGCACTTTTTACCTTCTCCGAGTAAACATTCTCCTCTTTAGCAAAACACAAGACCGAAAGTAGGAAGCCACCGCTGTCACGGAGAAAGGGCAGCCCCCGACATGTACCGCTCCAAGTAATGCAAACAGTCCTCCTCATTATGATCCTCAGCGGGCGCAGCGCAGACGCTTCCCCAGCTCCCGGCACTCTTGATGCTTCCACCGTCGGAGTTTGCGACCTCCTCGGGCGACTCGACAAAGTCCGAGGAGGAGCTGTCCCTCCGTCCGCTGCCCCCGGCGGACCCCCGGGCAACGCCGGCTCCTTGTCGGCGGCTGCCCTTTCTCCGTCCGCGGCCGCCCGCTTGTGGCGGCAGCGGACGTCTCGACTGACAGTGGTCAGTCGGCTGCCTCCGGGTATCGCGTCTAAGGGATGTTATTCCTCCTGCATGCTCCTGCTGCTTGTTGCTTGATTGCTTGACCCTTCGGCTGCTTGTCTGCGTGGCTTCGCGCTTGGGCTGGCGATGCCGCGTCTGGTTGCCAGCAGTGCTGGTTCTTTTCGGGCTTGTGTTTTGTGTGTGTTTGTGCAGCTTCTCGCTGTGAGCTGTGTGCAAGCCGGTTTAGCTTGTTCCTGCTTTGTTTTGCTTGAGGCACTTTTTCCCTTCTGAACGAAGCTGGTCTTCAGAGCGTCATCGATACAGTCGGGGATCCTCGTTCTCGACGGCAGGTACCCTCCCATCCTCATGGCCGCAAGATGAAGGGCGATATCCACATCCCTGGAATCCGCGATCGAGGGTCCGAGCAGTACGAGGGCTTGATGGCGGACGTGACGTTGGTCCACCCTTACATTGGTAGCTCTGCCGACCTGACCAAGTGGGGGGCCATCTCGACGGACGGTACCCTGCATCCTGACACCCTCCGCTTCATCTGGTATCTCGCGGACATCATTGCTCAGCGCTCGATGCCTCTTGAGGATGCGGCGTTTGGTCGGCACTTCGTGCCTGATGACGGCCCTGCTGCTGAGGTCCTGGCTCGCAAACGCGCCGCCACCTATCAGCGCCTCACTATGCAGCTGACGCTGGAGGCGCTCCTGTCTGGTGCGAGGCGCATGACGCCCTTGCGGGCGCAAGCACTTCTCGAGCCAGAGGACAGCTCCTCCTCGGACTTTGTCGAGTCGCCCGAGGAGGAACCTTCGCCGGAGGTCTCCGACTCCGATGGGGGAAACACTTCGAGTGGCGCCGACGATGGGCGCGGAGCTGGCGAGGCGTCTCCGTCCCTCACTGTGACGTCGGGTGCCTCCGGAGAGCTCGACACCACTGGGGTGCTTGCTGCTGGTCCGAGCTCGCCTGCTTCCTCCCCGGCATCGGTCGGGTCACGTCGGTCCTTGGGCATTGCTGCGGCGTCGCCGCCGTCACGGGCGGCTACCGCTGACTCGGAGGCTAGCGAGGAGGACTACCTCGAGCGGTACCGTGTTCCTGTGTCCAGCCTCCATCCGTCCGCTGCCCCAGGCGGACCCCCGGGCAGCGCCGGCTCCTTGTCGGCGGCTGCCCTTTCTCCGTCCGCGGCCGCCCGCTTTGTGGCGGGAGCGGACGTCTCGACTGACAGTGGTCAGTCGGCTGCCTCCGGGTATCGCGTCTAAGGGATGTTATTCCTCCTGCATGCTCCTGCTGCTTGTTGCTTGATTGCTTGACCCTTAGGCTGCTTGTCTGCGTGGCTTCGCGCTTGGGCTGGCGATGCCGCGTCTGGGTGCCAGCAGTGCTGGTTCTTTTCGGGCTTGTGTTTTGTGTGTGTTTGTGCAGCTTCTCGCTGTGAGCTGTGTGCAAGCAGGTTTAGCTTGTTCCTGCTTTGTTTTGCTTGAGGCACTTTTTACCTTCTGCCAGTAAATCTTCTAGACCCCCTCTGGCTCGAGAAGTGCTTGCACCCGCAAGGGCGTCATGCGCCTCGCACCAGACAAGAGCGCCTCCAGCGTCAGCTACATGGTGAGGCGCTGGTTGGTGGCGGCGCGTTTGCGAGCCAAGACCTCAGCAGCAGGTCCATCATCAGGAACGAAGTGCCGACCAAATGCTACATCCTCAAGAGGCATCGAGCGCTGAGCAATGATGTCCGCCAGATACCTGAAGCGGCCGGGCTTGTGTTTTGGGTGTGATTGTGCAGCTTCTCGCTGTGTGCTGTGTGCCAGGAGGTTTAGCTTGTTCCTGCTTTGTTTTGCTTGAGGCACTTTTTACCTTCTGCCAGTAAATCCATAGATTCACACAAGCCCGAAAAGAACCAGTCCCAGGCGGACCTACTAGTCCCAGGCGGACCCCCGGGCAACGCCGGCTCCTTGTCGGCGGCTGCCCTTTCTCCGTCCGCGGCCGCCCGCTTTGTGGCGGGAGCGGACGTCTCGACTGACAGTGGTCAGTCGGCTGCCTCCGGGTATCGCGTCTAAGGGATTTTCTTCCTCCTGCATGCTCCTGCTGCTTGTTGCTTGATTGCCTGACCCTTAGGCTGCTTGTCTGCGCGGCTTCGCGCTTGGGCTGGCGATGCCGTGTCTGGGTGCCAGCAGTGCTGGTTGTTTTCGGGCTTGTGTTTTGTGTGTGTTTGTGCAGCTTCTCGCTGTGGACTGTGTGCCTGCCGGTTCAGCTTGTTCCTGCTTTGTTTTGCTTGAGGCACTTTTTACCTTCTGCCAGTAAATCCTATGTCTCTCTAGTCATAGCATATGCAGCGCGATGTTTGCGAATCTTCTCAGACGCTGCAACATGGAGGGCGTCGAGGTATGTATGTATAGGATTTACTGGCAGAAGGTAAAAAGTGCCTCAAGCAAAACAAAGCAGGAACAACCTAAACCTCCAGGCACACAGTCCACAGCGAGAAGCTGCACAAACACACACAAAACACAAGCCCGAAAAGAACCAGCACTGCTGGCACCCAGACGCGGCATCGCCAGCCCAAGCGCGAAGCCGCGCAGACAAGCAGCCTAAGGGTCAAGCAATCAAGCAACTTGCAAGCAGCAGGAGCATGCAGGAGGAATAACAT